TACACTTTGAAATTTGCAGGCAACTCTTCCCCCCGCCCCCGCCCCCCAACACCAGGCCCCTCTCTTAAGGTCATGATCCACCGGTTGAAATTGTCACCGACAAGGGATTTCCGCAGAAATTCCATGCCAAAATCTGGTTGCCAAAATCTGGTTGCCAAAATGTTTTAATGATCGGCGCTCCGTCCAGTTGGCACCTAGGACAGGGGAGGTTTCCTTAGTGCCCGGACGTCAGGCAGGCGCTCTTCACTTCAGAGAAATGGCAGCTTCCAAGTCAGTACATTGGTGATGGCAGTGGACGGATGAGACAGCCTTCCTCTTGGGTTTTCAGCTTAGACTGTCACTATTCCATTGCCCGCCAAGTTGCGAGTCCCTTGAAGTCCATGCGCTGCTGATGACGGTTACTGGTAAGGATTGCCCTAATATGCATCGAGGACCGTAGCCTGTACACGACCATCCACCACGACCTGGAATGAATGTAAATGTGTGGACGTGGACGCACTGTTCAAATGCAACTCTCTCGGTAAAATGTTTGTTAACTTCATTCGCACAGTACGTAGTCAGCCGTGCAAAGACCCACCTCACCAGAGTGCGTGCAGGCTGTAAATATAAATACAACGCAGAGATGTGCTGCTCACAAATAATTGGAAGGCCCGATTTACAACCATATGCCTTGCATACATGTCACATGTTCACATTGAACGTACAACCGGCTCAACGTCCCATCATTAGAGGGATCACGGGAGAGAGTAGTCAGACCCGACGCTTGGGACTCAAAGAGATGAACAATGTGGCTTCCACCAAGGAGGGCTTTTATTATAAACTAACACACCAACACAGACTCAGCTGATGTGACTGGCGCTATTCACGTGTTCACGTTGCGTGTGTTAAGGTCAGGTTTATAATGGTACACTTTAGGAAAACATTTCGTTGGTTTATAAAACAGCAAATCCCTGGCATCCCTCCCCAGTTCTGGCTGGGCATTAAAACTTGACAATTGGGGAGAGACAGCAGGAGATCAAACATCAACATAAAACCTACACCGCCAAAGCCGAACACAAAGCAGAAATCAGTCTAAACCAAAAAAAAAGATATTGTTCACTTATATTCGTCATAGTTAAATCTTACGAAATTCTAAGTGAACAAGATCACTGTCACACGGAACTGGGCAGACTGAACAATAGTCACTGCAAAGAGGAACGTTGTGGTGTAAAAAGACAATCAATCTCCATCTGTGAGCAACCGAGAAAAACGGGACATCGTTTCCCCAGTAGCAGTAAAACACCACCAGACACCTGCTCAAAACGACGAGCCATGGGTCTCTTCAAAACACAAACCGCCCAACCGTTCCGACCAAACGTTACAGCTCCCGCCCACGCAAGCCACTCATTGGGTAATATAATCGCGTTTCCACGGCCTCAAGGCTGCCATGGTAACCGTTCTACGCAGCTGCCCTCCACTCGTGTCACTGCTAGCCACGAGTCCCTCCGCAGCCAGATTTTCTACCCAAGTTCCCGTGGGAAGTCGGAAACAGAGGGGACTCTGCAGCGGGAGGCGTAACGTTCCAACGGGGCCTCACAGCAAAGTTCTGGCTGCCATCGCGAGAAGAGTGTGACCCCTTGACCCAAGGTGGTTGTGATGGTGGTGGTTGTGGGATGGCGAACGGGAGCGCTTACTGCACCGCGCGCCACAAAGGAACCCCCGCAGTTGGTCAGGGAAAAACGGGTAAAAAACGGGGAACGCACCTGCCCAGTACGGGAGATCAGGACGAGCAAGAAAAAAACCCCGTGCGGCCGGAAGTGGCAACTGGCCTCGCTGTTTACGCGATCGCTGGTCGTTGGAATCGGAACGGCACCCCCCCCCCCCCCACTTCCTAAAAGCATTGGCCACCTCCCACGAACAGCACACACGAAAAAGCGTAAAAACAAGGTGGAAATCGATGCCAACGCGGACGACTCGCTCGCACGTGCCGCCGAGAGCCCAACGGCTTCAGTCTCCTAGACTTTGATCGCACGGGGCTCGAACCTGGGTGCCCGTGACTGAGAGGGGGGGGGGCAAAGCAAAGTCACCACCGCACTTGGAAAGCAGGAGCCGTCGAATGTAAAAATACTACAAAAACAAGAATGTTACAGCAATATGCTCTAAAAATGCACATAACACACAGACCACTACATATACATGAATCTATACAGCGTTCAACTCTTTTTGTGTTTTTTTATAAAGGATATTTTTTTTCAACTTTGAAATAACTAAAACGATTTGCTTATATAAGATTGTGTCCGCTATTTTTATTTTTTATTTGTTTTTATTAATTTTGAATTCAAATTGATGTTTTAAAAACATTATCTTCTATACTTCCTCTTTTTTGGAACTCAACCCCCCCCCCCCCCCCACTGCCGTGCTCCCATTGTAGTCAATGGGACCAGATCAGTCATTGAAACTTGTCGGTACCACCTGACGTGGCAGAACTTCAGCGATTCCAATTGGTTTACGTGGCCCAACACAGCGACGTATAATGAGTTGCTTAGCAAATAATTGTAAATACATCGGCACTGCTAAAATTTGTCAATTTCTGCGCTGGCCCATGGACTGCCGGCCAACCCTCCCACACCTCACGCCGTTTTAATTTTCCTGCTCTAAGCCAACATGCATCTAAAATTTATAACAATTATGGGCCTAACGAATAACACTCACCAAACACGACCACCACAGACCCGTCCATACCCAGCCACGCGCCGACTGCAAGCCGACAACACACCAGCGCCAGCACAGAGCACATGGCACGGCGCCCTCCGACTTGGGCTCCTCCGCACGGTCCACCTGCCGCTGCTCACCCACACCACCCCGGCGCTGCCCAGCACGACTTTCCGTGCTCGAGTGGGGGGTCAGAGAAGAAGCAACCAAGACTCATAGCGTTCTAGTTTGTAAATACCCACCGAGGCTGTAGCGTCACGGGGTTTAAAGATTTGTCCACGAAAAGGAAAAACCTCTCTTGTTAAGCTCGAAATTGATAGCACCAAATAACATCTGTTTCTTACATGATAGCTGGACAATGCAGTGATTTCACTTGTCTGTTACTTTGAATGTAGGGCTTTGTTTTTATAAACAAAGCAACAAACCTACAGCCCAAGCGCGTACCTGCACAAGCTTGTTTGTTGCATTCTGTTCTGAACCGAGCTTGCCTGGGCTAGCGAAACTGGCCTTTTTTTCCTGCACAGAATAAAATCACAGACGTTACACCAGGTGCTGTGCTACCCTGCGTTCACCAGTCACAATTCTACACCCCGTGTGTCGCGGCGCACTTGTAGCTGCACGAAGGGCGGCGTAGGGGTGTGCGAGTGTGCCGAGCTGAGCTGCTTAGCTCAGACACCGCTCCGCTCGTCACCCATCCAACACAGCGGCTATTCATCGCCGTTCAGATCAACAGAGGGCTTACCTCTGAATCCAAATGTACGGTCCATGTGAGCCAAAAAGGACCAAATGATACCAAAAACCTAAGTGGAATTGACGTAATTGTAAAAAAATCCAATTCGTCAATAACACTGTGGCTTTAAAAGAAAAACAATATATACAATAGGTGACGTTTCAGGCAACGGGCGTTCTTTATAGCACATGAATAGGGGCAGATGCTCAAAATGTTGCGAATTATACATTTTTTAGGAATAGGTTTTACCCTTCTAACTGGCACAAAAACTGACACCTTTATTCAAGGCATCATGTTTGCAATGACCACAACACAAGCAGTCAAAATGCAAACAAAAAAGACAACTCTGATAATCATATGCACTGGCCTTGAATTTGATTGGTCCACACCCGAGACAGCTTTTCTTAGAGCCTAGTCTCCATTGGTGTGGGACCAGAAGACGCCAAAAGGCGTACAACTCAAAAACAGCGCACTATCAGAGTATTGAGGGCTCGGGGTGAGCATTAACATTATGAGACCTCCTTTGCCAGAAACAAGATATAGGAATAGGTTTTACCAATGGAGACTAGGCTCTAAGAAAAGCTGTCTCGGGTGTGGACCAATCAAATTCAAGGACAGTGCATATTATTATCAGAGTTGTCTTTTTTGTTTGCATTTTGACTGCTTGTGTTGTGGTCATTGCAAACATGATGCCTTGAATAAAGGTGTCAGTTTTTGTGCCAGTTAAAAGGGTAAAACCTATTCCTATATCTTGTTTCTGGCAAAGGAGGTCTCATAATATACATTTTTTCCTTTGGCCAAAATGCGTAGCTTTTGTCGTTGTGTCTGTTCACTGCTGCCAAAAGCATCGCCAAATAATACGTTGGAGTTATTTGTAAGGCCAACATAAGAGTTATCCAATAACCTTTTCCGATGAGTAACCACCACAATCCACTGGTCATTTGCCACACACAACTCTGAACCACTTCCACTTTGCCGAATCACTGACCCACCGATGAGTTTAAAGGCAGAAACCAATTTTTACTACCCAAGCGGCCGACATGCTTACCTTGTGAAAAACCTCGTTTACTCCATCACACTCCATGCGAGGCGAGTTATTAGATGACGCGACACTGTTTGCGGCCAGCCTTACGATCCCATAAAGGGGGGGGGGGCAACCCCTTCCCCCCCCCCCCCCATGCCTTTCGGCTATAAAAAGGGTCAGGTTGTATTTTCAAAATAGTTTTGGGTGACGATATGTTTTTTTTTCTCTACCCCCAAAATCCTGCAGCGTAACATACACGGCCGTACAAAATAAAATAGAACTCTTTTTTTTTGTTATCCCCCACCACTGTGGCAATGTTCTCTTGTCGCACCGTGTCCTCCGTGCGCGAGTCTGGCCGGAGAGCGTGCCCGCTGGCTCCTCAAAACGCACCAACACCCTCGCGCGTCTCCTCTCAACGCATCTTCAGAGCCACCGTCACTCATCACGCTACGCTATCCCCGCTACCCTTCCCCGAGAACTCCCCTCCTGACCCCTAGCCTCCCTTCCCACCTCTATCCCGCACCCCTTCACAACCCCCCACCCCCCCACCCCCGCACCCACCGCCCGCTCCTCCCCCGCCCCCCGTGACCCTCGGCAAGCGAGAGGTTAATTGCTCTCGAGCTTGGCGAGCTCCTGCACGTAGACGCCGATGCTCTCGCTGTCCGACAGCACGAAGTAGACGGACTTGAGCGATGACGTGGTGGTTGCCACGAAATAGGCGCTCACCGCCTTCAGGATAAGCTGTGCCGCCGTCTGCTTGGGGAAGCCGTTCCTGAGCGAGCGGAGGGGGCAGGAGGAAGAGTGGGGGGGGGGGGGGCAGGGAGAGTGCTTAGGGTCTATGGAAAAAAGCTAATACGAGTGGTTGCTTGGCTAGTTAGTGAGGGGTAGCGCTAAAAACTAGTGACTGGTTGGTTATGGTTGGGGCAGTGCTAGTAGTAATAATAGTGCAATTAGTAATGCACACAATATTTCACAGACACAAATGGTCGTAACTGAGGTATGGAGCCAAGCTCAGTGTCACTTGAATGCCAGGGGACAGAGGTGGTAGGTTTTTATGTGTCTCTTAAAAGAGTAGGTGGCACATTGAATGCTGCAAATGTGAAGTGGGATGGTTTTCCAGATGGATAGACTGGTTTTGTGAGTGGTAGTGTTTGGCAAGGACCAGGGTGAGCACGAGGTTGGCCTCACCTCTCCTCCCCCGTTACCACACATCACCAATTCATCTTTTGTATGCTTTTTTTGTTATGCCGACGTTCACCACACCACTTCAGGCTGCTACTGCTGCGAGTGAGGATGATGAGATGGAGACGTGTGAAGGAAAAGAGTTGTTGTGGGGGGGGGGGGGGGGGGGGGGGGGGGGGGGGGGCGCCCTCACCGGCCCGTGGCGATGGCAGGGAAGGCCACGGACTTGAGCTTCTTGTCGTCGGCCAGAAGGAGGCAGTTCTTCACGGCCTTCTCCAGCTGCTCCTCACACTTGTCGGAGCCCCACTGCGGCGCGTGGCTGTGAATTACGAACTTCACCGAGAGACCGGCGCCCACACTGGCCGCCGCTGCACACACACACATACACAAAGATCCCATTGTAGCCTTTCAAGGTTAAATGCCGCTCGCGAACACATGTCCATGCCAGGCCATCTCGGAGCACTTTATACATGACATGAAAGTGCAGTTGTATGTGCAGAAATTGAAAAGGTGAAAAACTACCCAGCCTGCAAGCTGGCATTAGTCTGCTAGTAATTTGTGATGATTGCTGTGTGTAATTCCAATTGTGTAGTTTTTCAGAATTTGGCACATTTTGGATCATGATGCTGGCACGCAACGGCCTATTTATTTTAATGACGTGAGGGGATATTTAACAATCAATTTGAAGCAGATGGCGCGTTAATATATTGTGGTTATTACACCCGCAGTGATCACCAGGGTGGTCTGCCAGTTGAATAGTGCCGCTCTCAAATAAATGGAATACGCACTACCACTGGTGTCACATCACAACTGGACCTACGAATGCCACCACGGTACACATGGGGTTGGTGGTGTGGTCAGCACCAAGTCTGGCCACCTTTGTCGACCTACTAGAGGTACAGGACCATTTCAGTTAAAAATGACTGGTGTTTGCTCTGAACGGGACTCCAACTCGGGTCGCCAGTTTGCAGCGCAGTGCACTCATCACCGAGCCACCACTCCCCACGCCCACAGGTACACACACAAACAAGTACACAAAAACACACGCACAGCACCGTTTATCACATATTACCAAGACCCTTACGGCCTGAAACTTCATTCCACATGGCCCATGGCCACATAACCGCCACCAAATTGAAACTGACCGCAAGTGATATTTAAACATCACTACATTTCGCCATCCTCCATGAGTTACACCAAGAGGGAACTACAGGTCAAAGTCACCGACATGCCGCTAAATCTGGCCGTCGTTCTTATCCCTTTGCTGGACCCTGTGTGAGCAAGCAACACGCTCACCAGCAGCGATGTCAAGGGGCCCGTCGGACTTGCGCAGCTCTTTGATTGACTCCGTGAAGTCCTTCCCACCGGCCTTCTCCAGCGCACTACCTACACCCGCCACCGGCACACACAAAAATGCTTGGTAAGACAACATAAATCGGCATTCAGTAGCTTCGAAAGGCCTTCATCCAACAGCGGATTGATAAGGGCTGGTGATGATGAAGTGCTTGTGCAGGCTGTACATGATTGTCATTGTTCAGCCCTTTGTATCTCAAAGCGATCAACAACAGGGAAAACATGTATAATATAGATCTTTGTTAATCCACCGCTGAAAAGCCTGCTCACACCTTGTGGGAGTTGTTTTGATTATACTTCATCACATCGGTCAGTACAGGTTAGCGAAGCTGGGGGTCCAGATGTGTGCATGTAGGTTGAACTTCTTTCGCAGCACGGCCGCAGCTCAGCCAACGGCGAGTCAACGCCGACTGACCAAATTATGGGCAACTTCGTTCAAGCCTGTGCCACATCGCTCACCGAGGTCGTCCTTCAGGTCGATATCGGCCGTGGTGGGGTGCACCACTGCCTCCACACAGATGTTGGCGATGTTGCCGACTTCGCTCTGCGTGAGCGCCAGCTGGGGGCGGCACAAACACACACGACGCACAGCTCGTCACACAGCCAACCAACAGCTAGGCCCCATCAGGCAATAGTCTGGTGAATCAACTATACGGTCAAGCAATCGACTATCTGGTTAATTAATCGACCATCCCGTCATTCAATCAACCATCCAGTAAATAAACTATCTGCTCAATCAACTATCCGATCAACTTTTATTGCCTTGGATTACAAGGGCCTCCTCTAGCTTCACTTGCTTTTACCAGATGTGGTAATCCTTTGTACCTTGGTCCAGTCTATCTACGTTTGTGTTATTGCAATGTAAGTAAACTCCATCATACCAGGGAGGGTTGCTATTTCAAAGTGTAAACTATGTCACACCTTTCAATGAATCTTATTCTAAATGTTTTTTGTACAAATCAACCATATTTTGTATCTAGAGGCAACAGTTTTTTTTTATTAATCCGAAAATAGTGAATGCCGAGTGTACATAATGCGAGAGTGTTGGAGAGGTTTGCGGTTAAAATCCAGCAGACCCCCCCCCCTGGTTAATACTGTGGGTGTATTAACCGCTAAATGTACGTCATCTGCTCCACAGTGGACATGAAAAAATCCCTGACGTCTTCAAAAGGAGAAGGCCATTGTGTGTGCCATTGTCAGTCCAACTTAGAAAAAATTACTCCTTTGGGATTACACAACAACACTGCCCCCCCAAACGTGCGCCTCGAGTCGCCTCTCAGGCCGGTGCCAAATCACCTTGAGCGGCACATAGAGCTGCAACGGGGGGGGGGTCCCCTCTTCAAACGGTTGACATGACATGCAAGGCGCTTTGAGATGCCGAGGCATTCAAGCGAGCGCCATATAGATGAAAATAATATTTTAATAATATTCATATATATTACTTTGATACTGGCAAAAAGGTCCCGTCAAAATAATATTATTACTGTGTGAATACAAAGACGGTTAACCGCATCGCGCGCTTTCAGATGCGCTTTCGCAGCCGTCTAAAACGCACTTCCTTCCGATATTAGGAAGCCACTGGAGCCATGCACTTTTAATCTAGATTGAAAACTCTTGAGAGCTGCTTTTTGTGTTTAGTGTGTTGTACTTCCCCGCACCTCCGACGACCACAGTTGGCTACGTATGGTGCGAAAGAAGTGCAACATATATACATACAAAATGCATAGCAAATGAGCAAGTAAAAACCTAAAAGCATCTTCTTATTCCCATTCCAGCATTGGGGCTGCGTCAAATTTCTAATGGCACCGAGTCAGTGCTAGAAGTCCCACATTAGTCTGGTGCGGGCGCTAATCTTTACCAGATTACAAACGCCATTTTTTTGCCCACAAAGGGGTACTCAAGTTATCAACTCCAATAAAGTGTGATGGGCCAAGGCTACAGCTGATGACAGAGATTCGAATTCGCAACCTTCCGATTTGCAAGTCCATCGGTGCCAGGCCGGCCAGTTGCATTTTGGGCAGATGCAATCGCCAAGCCCGTTAACGATCGCCCGCGCGAAGAGGTGGTTAGACAAAGCAGAGCGGCACCTTCTGTCCCAGGAAGAGGTTTTTGGTGGATAGGATGGTGAAGCCCTCCCCAGGCCCATCTTCAGTGGCACTGTCGTTTGTCGCTTTGTTGCTCTCGGCCGTCTTGTCCTGCGAGAGAACGCGTGCGCTCGTTAACAATAATTGTTATAAAATAAACAATTACATGTTTACCCAGGAAAATCATGCCGAGTGCAAAGGCTTTTTCAGGAGGGGTCCTAAAGTGTCGTAAATTGATGGTCTCGGTCCAGTCACAAAAAAGACTTTACATTTATTTCCATACTTAATTTGGCTAAATTCTATCGCTTGAGATTTAAAATGTTGGTTTGACCATCATGCGACGAACCTCACTGTCACATGCAGATTGGGTGGGAAATTAGTGGTTTAGAGATCACTTGAAGGGATCCTCTAGAGATAGCTCAGTGATATCCACTTCTGTGGGCCGTTCTCCAATACGAGGCATGGCACTACTTTGTGTCTCATGACGTGATGCCAACAGCACGGTCAGGGTAAAAATTGTGGCCAAAAAATATTCCCAGAACTTGTTTTACTTCAACGAACATCCAATATATCTGAATTTTACGTAGCCTCCCACTTGGCAAAGCAGGTGATGTTTTGTTTAAGCGGGGGAATTGGGGGGCGGAGGAGACACCTTCTCGGCTTGCTTGCCCTTCTTGCCCTTTTTGGGGGCGGATGATGCGGAGGCCGCCGCTGCTGCTGCCGCCTTCTTGGCGGCCGCCGTCTTTTTCGCTGCGGGGGAGGCCTTGGGCTTCTTGGGGGGCGGGGGCAGCACGGCCTCCAGCTTTCCCTTTGCTCCGCGCTTCTTGGTGAGCAGCTCGGGGTGGATGCGGGGCAGCACGCCGCCACTGGCGATCGTCACGCCCCGCAGCAGCTACAAGGGGTACAACGGCACAGACGCGCGTGGTAAACATACAAGCGCGTGTGCAATCGCATGCACAACCGCGCGCAAATCACACGCAGACACACAGGGCAAAAACACAACCACACACGACCATGTAAAACGGCAATCGCACAAACAACCACAGACAACAGATACACACACAAAACGCATAACCATGTGTAACCGCACAAATTCACGATCGCACACTTACACAAAAACACGTACATAATACCAATAATCGCAAACACAACTACTATACTACATACCGATATGCACAAATAAACACAGGCAACAGTGCACGCAACAACAGCACATTCATACACTACCACACTTCAGTCTATGTGTAGAGAATGTGAGTGTGCTAGGAGTGTGTGTGTGTGTGACAGCAATGGTCTCTTCAAGTGTTCTTCAGTGCATGGCCCACGGGCCACTGGCGGCCCCTGGTGGCCTTTCGCGCGGGCCCCTAACGTGTGGCCCCCCACAATACACAAATGTGAAAACACCCCTTGCAGGCGTTGTGGCGGTCCTCATACTGTCTTATTGGCAAAAGTGTCCACCCCCCCTCCCCCTAAAAATGTGTTAAGGACACCACTCTATTCTGTAAAGTGTGCATAGGGCGGCTCTTGTGGAACGAGCGCTGCTCACCTGGTTGAGCTCCTCGTCGTTGGCCACGGCGAGCAGGATGTGTCGCGGAGTCACGCGCCCCTTTTTATTGTCCCTCGCGGCGTTCCCCGCCAGCTCCAGGATTTCCGCTGCCGGGTTCACCAAATTTACACGAGTCGGTCAAGAGGTTCAAGAGGTCAAGAGCCCTCAGCCAGCATAGCTGAGATCCTGGGTGCTTATCTAGGTATCAGCCACCTGAGATTAAACCGGGTTCTTAAGAGCAATGGGTTGATGGTCTCAGCCCTATAACCAATAAATGCACGCAAAAAAAAATGGCACGTTCAAATTAGTTCTGCACTTAATCGAGCCAAATTCCAGCTCTGGCAATTGGAAATATGAATTTGACTGTTGTGCGACAAATATGACTCTTATGCAGAAGGGATGGTGGGAGAGTGCTGCCCACTACTATGTGGACCAGAGGGGGCTTAAATAGGATCTGAGGTAGCTTCGCAATATCCGCTTCCATGGGCCTTCCCTCTCATGAGAAGGGCCGCACTGCGCTGTGAAAGATGAGAATGGCTAATTTGTCTCATTACATTGCACTCAACCAAATATGGGAAATTAGAGTTTTTTTTTTTATCCAAAGTGGTTACATGTCTGCTGAAAACTGGTACTGGAACAATGCTAGTCGAGAGGTTACCGGGTCGAGACCATGGCCTCACTGCACTCGTGGATAGGGGGCACAATAATGAACTAAACACGAGTTCTGCTGTGAGCACACACAACTCAACGTAAGCAAGTAAGCATAAAATTAAATTTCAAGCAAACCTATCACGAACAAACTTGCCTACTATGCCCTAGCACCAGCGTTACCCTGGATGCGAGCCAAAGCCACCTGTGGCACTTGGCCTCACTCCCTTGTCAATTTTAAATTCATGGCAGCCAAAAGGCCGCTTGCTGCACCGCTCGGATAGTTTTACGCCTGAGCAGCCATTCAAAGACCGTTCACACGTTACCACAAAAATTACAAAACCAATTGCTAAGATATTACTAACATGCCTTATGAATTAATCATAATGTGCACAACCAAAAAAAGCCACAAACTTGAAAAGTGTTTTATGAACAAAAAACTACGTACTTTTTGTGCTAGTGCAATTAGCATGCGTTAGAATGCAAGAACGTGTGTGTGGAAGTGCGGAAACCTAGTGCCCAGTTAGTTTGTACGTGTATCTCTGTTTTTTCCTGCAAACATTGATATGAGGTCAAATCCTGAAATGGAGGAAACACCGTAATGGCCTGACTTATTAACTTATTAATGTATGGTGTTCACAGCCTCCCCTACCACCACGGCTCTCCAGGAACAGTTGAGGATTCTCTCCCCTCCAATAAAGTGTCAAACTTCCTCTTACAGCGGACAGGAAAGCAAAGCAAGGGTCATGTGTACAGTCTGGTTTGGGGCAGCTGTATCGTGAAGTGTGGCAAATAGTAGATCACCACCAGCACAGCAACATCTTCATAAGCAGACACACGAGTTTGAGAAAACGATTGGGGGCAGTGCTTGGTAAAGTATGGTCAAATTACACCAATCCTCAGTGTGTGGGGAGGGGGGCTCATCCAGCAGTGGCTCGTGGAAGGGCTGTACATGTACATCGCACATCAACAAATTTTATACGGTGGATACGTATTGCATGGGTAACAACTCTAATGCTATACATTTTGCAAAGACACCAACATACCTGGAATAATCATGAACTTATACTTTTATGGTTTGGCATTCCTTGTAATTGTGTGGAGAAGATCGAGCAATGTTTCGACAACAATCCATCACTAGTTAATTTCATCGATGCATCTCCGTGGTAGACGGCCTCTAGGACGTGTTCCTCTTTTTGCTGCCACTGTCATTAATCTCAACCATGAGCCATCATCTATTTTAGCAACATGCCGTGCACATGCAAACTTACTTAACTTGCATCTGTTAACTGGCATGTGTTCCACTTCCTGTCTGTAATTTCAAGCAAGCACCTCTCTGTGCTTCTTTGAGCACTTTTGTTCCATTTAATTTGTCAATGGCTATGTTTCTGATCTTTATGTCATCGCAGGTTATATATACCAAAATTAAATTTCAGTCGCGTCAACGCTGAGGGAGCTATTGACAAAAAATATTCTTGACGAGACATGAAAATAACTCCTGGATATTCTCGCCACTTCCGAGTCAATCCTCCCAGTTGCACAAAAAACAGATATAGGAAGAATTTGGCCCTTCTCATGGTAGCCCGATGGCTTGCAAAGAACCTCTGTCTGTCTTGGAGAAGAGAAGACAGACAGAGGTTCTTTGCAACCTCTGTCTGTCTTGGAGAAGAGAAGACAGACAGAGGTTCTTTGCAAGCCATCGGGCTACCATGAGAGATTCGTTCATGAGGCTATCCACATATACAAACAAAGAAACAATTTCAACCGAGAAGATGGATTCTGGCTTAGCAATCATTGGAAGGATTTGATAAACCATTTCAGGTCTTAATTGATTGTTCACGCTTACGGTGGCTTTCAGACAGCATACATTAAATTTTCGTCTCCCCCTTCCTCTTTTCCGAACATAGATGGACTCGTCCTTCTAAACAAACTGTCAAATCGCTATCCGTGGCGCTAACGTTTTTAAAAATAAATAAACACAAACACCGTTTAAAAATAAATGCAAACAACGTTTGAAAATGAATTAATAAATACAAACCGCCACTTCTTTCAAATGTTTCTTGCCTTTGGTTTTTCACACCTGATGATGACTGTGTTACAGTCGAAACGTCGTGAGAATTTTATTGTTTTATATATATTTTATTATTTTATTGTTTCCCTTCAACGTGACTTTACCGAAAGAACCAAGAATACGGTAGTTTTTCTTGTATTTATAGTCTTTTTTATGCATCGATTTATTAACTTCATTGTTATATGGCACAGTTTTTATGCTTTTGTAATTTTGGATGACCAAGGTCACCCTTGCAAATGAGACTATCCTGGTCGTGGGTACTCACCGAGTTAAACAAAACAAACGTTTTCAAAAAAGTAGCATCGCTTCCAGAACTGAAAAAGACTGCGAACAAGTGCAACCAAAGAGTCTGTGATTTGACGAAAATGTGGTCTCAGATTGGATAAAAAATCTTGAGTGAACAGTTGTTACTCCCTTAGTGTATTTAGTCCTTGTCAATCCACTGCTGGATCAGGGTCTGTCCACACCGCGCATTTCATGGGAGATACCTAACCATACTTCACCATGTTGTGTCAGTACGGATAGTGAAGGTGGGCAGCACAGACGTGGGAGCATGTATGTGCAGTCCAGTACAACAATGGATTTAGCTGGACTGCCTTCTGCTGCCCTTGTAACTGCTACTAGGAGCTCATGGAGGAGGTCAAATGGCAAAGATAATTCTAGTCCATCCTGTAAATGCTACACGGTGGTACTAAATGTATCCACCCGCAGTGTCTCCATGCCTTATCTCTACTGCCAGTGCTCGGCCATGAACGACATTTCCTCATTCCCATAACTAGGATCAGTTTACCCATAGCACAGCCAGTTGCAGGCGCCTGCCCACAAACCATTTTTCATTTTATCAACAAATAACATCTCACCAATGACACCTGGCTACCCATTAGCATTTGTTTAAAACCCCTGATTTTGTTGGTCAGAGCCAGGAGGATGAAACCGATTGAAAGTTTACATACTGCAAGTCTGAAAAACCAATAGGCCAGTGATCTAAAACACTCGGAATGGAACTTTGCCAATTTACAGTTCATTGACAAAAAGTGTTTCTCGTGACACGACCGTGGGCCGATGTTTACATCCGTTCATGGTACTTGGCCACGGACGAAAACTCCACATTCCCATGACAGGAGCCAGCGAATCCACAAAACCCACTTGCAGACGTCTCATAAACCAGTACTTATTCTCGCTAACCTTCCTACTCACTCACCAACAAAATTTAATCACATCGCCACCTGACCGACTAGGTTCTGCCACGGCAACATCATTGATTTAGAAAAAGCCAATGTCTCAAGAAACTGAGTTTCATTATGTTAAACCCTCGGGTAAATGAAGATGCATGAAGACGCAACAGCCCCGGCAGGTGTTGCTAATATGCATTAAGTTGGTGAGGGAGGCTAGATTAAGAAGGTTTTGGAGCATGTGTTGAGAAGCGAATGTACTTGTGAAGATGATACAATAAGCTGGGCTATGCAGGGCAGAGGACCCATAGACTCGCACAAGAGACAAACACTTGCAGCTCAGAGGGGCCTATGGTCGCCGGTGCTGGGGCAGGAGTACAGGAAGATTGAGGGGGAGATGGAAGGACTCGGTGGAACGAGATGTTAAGGAAGTTGATGTGAGTAGAGGGCAGCCGACCACGTGCAATAGTGAGACATTTGGCTAACAAACTGTCTCCATGTAAGTCTCTATATATCCGTGTAAACACACGGGCCTAAATGTACAGTGCACGGGTGTTTATGCAAGTGTACGGGCTGAGTGTGCAAGTCTTTAATTTTCTGCGAGAGTCTAGGGGGGTGTGTCTCAAAGAAGATTTTTGCTGTTTTTTTCTCCTGGATTTTTCTGTGTAGTCACTCACTTTAAGATGTTTTCTTGTTCATGTTTTTTTTGCAGTTGCACTCGATTTAAGAGCCGAATGGCTCATAGGGCTATACCAAATAAATGAAAATAAATAAAAAGTACATGCAAGTGTTTGCAAATGTACGGGTCTATGCAAGTCTATATGCTATGGGAGGGGGGGGGGAATCTCAACGCAGTGCGAGTGTGCGCCTCGCACAACTCATCCGCACCGTCCACGCAGAGTCTTAAGGGGGGGGGGGGAGCGAGGGAGGGAAACAAAACGCCAAGCGGCCGGCAGCAAGCAGCACCGTCCGCTCGGAGGTGGCCGATCGCGTGCGCGCGTGCGTGCGTCTCACCCGTGAGGTACTCGATGACTGCGGCCATGTAGACGGGCGCGCCCATGCCGATGCGGTACTTGTGGGTTCCCTTCTTGAGGTACCGCAGCATCCGCCCCACGGGGAAGATGACCCCGGCGCGCGACGAGCGCGACAGCTTGGTCATCTTCTTCTTGCCCCCTCGCGCCGACATGATGGCCGATTGCGGCGTTCGCCTTCTCGCTCAAAACCGAAAGTTGCAAGGTGGCGAACGGCTGCGCGAAAACAACAAAAAAAAAGTGCACACACGTGAGGTAAACTACCGAGTGGGGTAGTGGTGGTGTACAAAAATGTGGTTAGTCAACGATTATCGTTGTTTTTAGTTGCGATTGTTTTGTTTGTTGTTGTTGTGGTGGTGGTGGTACGGGGCGAGTGGAGGCGACCACGGGGTTGGTGGTGGTGGTGGAGGAAAAGCGCGGGGAAAGTCTCGCTGCCTCGCACGGCCCACAGCGCGCATGCGCGGCGTTTTAAACGAAAGCGCTTCCCCATTGGTCCGAACTCGCCGTGCAATGCGCGCGCCTCGCTCTCGTTGGTCCGCAGCGAGCACGTGACGCGGCGCTCGGCCAACGAGGGGGGCACCGTGGCCTCGTTAACGGCCGAGGAGCGCAGGAAACGAGCAGGAGAGCGCTTCCGGGTCATAGGGTCACGCTAGACAAAGCGCGGGGTTAGGGTGTGCGAGGGGGGTAGAGGGGGTGGGGTGCGAGGGGGTGGGGGTGAGATTGCTAGGGGGTGGGGTGCAAGGGGGTGCGGTGCAAGGGGGTGCGAGGGGGGCAGATGAGGGTGGGGAGGGGGGCAGATGAGGGTGGGGAGGGGGGCAGATGAGGGTGGGGAGGGGGGCAGATGAGGGTGGGGAGGGGGGCAGATGAGGGTGGGGTGGGGAGGGGGCAGATGAGGGTGGGGAGGGGGGCAGGTGAGGGTGGGGTGGGGGCAGATGAGGGTGGGGAGGGGGGCAGATGAGGGTGGGGAGGGGGGCAGATGAGGGTGGGGAGGGGGGCAGATGAGGGTGGGGAGGGGGGCATATGGGGGGTGGGGGTGCGAGGGGGGCAGATGGGGGGGTTGCGAGGGGGTACAGAGCGGAGCGCGCCGCGGGGCCACGACTCGCGCGCGCCGCGGCTCCGCAAGTCACCCGCGGCGGCCTTGCAATGCTTGGTCGGCGCGGGCGGCGATTCTAGGAAAGGCGGAGGTACAGACTTTAAAAAGGCGCGCTAGGCCGCAGCGCGACCTGAAGCCTCCCCCGCGCCGGGCCGACACGCGGCGTGCCCCAAACTCCGCGCGGGTGCAGAGGGAGCAGGGGGGGGAGGAGGGTGGGGGGTGGGGGAGGAGGGGGGAGGAGGAGGGGGCGGCGGCGTGCGCGCGCCGTGGCCCCCGCGGGTGGACGAATGCAAAGGAAGCGGAGGGCGTTGAGCAAATGCGGTGGTGCGCGAGCAAAGTGCGCGCGCGGAGGAGGAGAAAGGGGGGGCGGTGGAGGACGGGGGGAGGGGTGGGCCGGGTCGCCACCACCTTCCCTCTGCTCCCCCCCCAGTCCTTACCTGCTGCTGCTGCCGCTGCCGCCTCCGCTGCTGCTGCTGGTGCCGATCGCGGGGGGAGGGGGGCGAGCGAGCCGAATGGCGCCGCGCGACTGTTCACTCTTTTACATCTCCCAGTGCGCATGGGCAAGCGCGAGCGCCCCATTGGCGAGCGCCGGCGTCACGTGCCAAGGGGGGGGGGGGGGGTTGGGCGCAGGACGATTGCGCCCGGGGTCCGCCCCCACTGAACCAATGGGAGAGCGCGAGCGGCGCCGATCCGTAGTGGGGAATGTAGAAGGGGGGCGGGGAGGGGGCTCAGCAAGCTCAGTGCCTGGTCAGAGGGCTGCGCGGTCACAGACTCACAACCTCCACCCTCCTGTGTGTGTGCCGTGCTGGAGTTAGTGTCTGATCAGAGGGCTGCGGAGTCACAGACTCACAACCTCCACCCTCCTGTGTGTGTGCCGTGCTGGAGTTAGTGTCTGGCCAGAGGGCTGCGCGGTCACAGACTCACAACATCCACCCTCCACCCCCTGTGTGTGTGCCGTGCTGGAGTTAGTGTCTGGCCAGAGGGCTGCGTGGTCAGACTCACAACCTCCAATCTCCCCGTGTGTGTGCCGTGCTGGAGTTAGTGTCTGGTCAGAGGGGTGCGTGGTCAGACTCACAACCTCCACCCTCCACCCTCCCCGTGTGTGTGCCGTGCTGGAGTTAGTGTCTGGCCAGAGGGCTGCGTGGTCACAGACTCACAACCTCCACCCTCCTCCTGTGTGTGTGCTGTGCTGGAGTTAGTGTCTGGTCAGAGGGCTGCGTGGTCAGACTCACAACCTCCAATCTCCCCGTGTGTGTGCTGTGCTGGAGTTAGTGTCTGGCCAGAGGGCTGCGTGGTCACAGACTCACAACCTCCACCCTCCTCCTGTGTGTGTGCTGTGCTGGAGTTAGTGTCTGGTCAGAGGGCTGCGTGGTCAGACTCACAACCTCCAAACTCCCCGTGTGTGTGCTGTGCTGGAGTTAGTGTCTGGCCAGAGGGCTGCGTGGTCACAGACTCACAACCTCCACCCTCCTGTGTGTGTGCCGTGCTGGAGTTAGTGTCTGGTCAGAGGGGTGCGTGGTCAGACTCACAACCTCCACCCTCCACCCTCCCCGTGTGTGTGCCGTGCTGGAGTTAGTGTCTGGCCAGAGGGCTGCGTGGTCACAGACTCACAACCTCCACCCTCCCCGTGTGTGTGCCGTGCTGGAGTTAGTGTCTGGACAGAGGGCTGCGTGGTCACAGACTCACAACCTCCACCCTCCCCCTGTGTGTGCCGTGCTGGAGTTAGTGTCTGGCCAGAGGGCTGCGCGGTCACAGACTCACAACCTCCACCCTCCACCCCCTGTGTGTGTGCTGTGCTGGAGTTAGTGTCTGGCCAGAGGGCTGCGTGGTCACAGACTCACAACCTCCACCCTCCTCCTGTGTGTGTGCTGTGCTGGAGTTAGTGTCTGGTCAGAGGGCTGCGTGGTCAGACTCACAACCTCCAAACTCCCCGTGTGTGTGCTGTGCTGGAGTTAGTGTCTGGCCAGAGGGCTGCGTGGTCACAGACTCACAACCTCCACCCTCCTGTGTGTGTGCCGTGCTGGAGTTAGTGTCTGGTCAGAGGGGTGCGTGGTCAGACTCACAACCTCCCCCCTCCACCCTCCCCGTGTGTGTGCCGTGCTGGAGTTAGTGTCTGGCCAGAGGGCTGCGTGGTCACAGACTCACAACCTCCACCCTCCCCCCGTGTGTGTGCTGGAGTTAGTGCCTGGTCAGAGGGCTGCGTGGTCACAGACTCACAACCTCCACCCTCCCCCTGTGTGTGCCGTGCTGGAGTTAGTGTCTGGCCAGAGGGCTGCGTGGTCACAGACTCACAACCTCCACCCTCCCCCTGTGTGTGCCGTGCTGGAGTTAGTGTCTGGCCAGAGGGCTGCGCGGTCACAGACTCACAACCTCCACCCTCCACCCCCTGTGTGTGTGCCGTGCTGGAGTTAGTGTCTGGCCAGAGGGCTGCGTGGTCACAGACTCACAACCTCCACCCTAAATGCGCGACACATACCGCTCCACTGTGTAGGAATATAATTACTGTACTGTTATACCGGTTGTCGTAGACATGGGGAGTTTGTTTTTATTTGCTGAAACTCCTGGGTGATCTTCTATGGAACTTAACAGGTGTAAGTCACAGCCGAGATGAGGCTGTGTGATTTGACGTTTTTGGTTGCGTTTATTGATCTGCCACGTAACATTGCAAGTATTCCAATCACACATGCCTGGTACAATGTTTGTTTTAGGTTTAACAGTATGTTTAATACGTAGGCTTTCCCGACCAATATCCATAATAAAGGGGTTTTTTTTGGTTTAGATCGTGTGAATCTAAATGTGTCGTTAAACCCGCCACTATCCGACAGTCGATTAGTAAGGGTTATCACGTAATCAAAACGTGCCAATTACTACTCACGCACTAATTGCCCATTAATACTTAAGCACGAATTGGCACGTTTTGTTTACGTGACAACCATTACTAATTGGCTGTGTCGGGTGGTGACGGGTTTAACGACACGTTTCACGCGACCTCACCCCGAAACACTTCATGGAGTATGTTTAACGCGAAGCAGAGCACAAAGACAGCACATATGACCGTCCTTAGACATTGGGGCAATATTCCATAACCATCCTGTTTAAGGCTACGTGTTGAGGCTCCAGATTGAAACGCCGATATTCCGCAAGCACAAAATAGATGCATTCCATTCACACGCGCTGTGCTTCGTGTTTACAGTTGCTATTCACATGCAATGCAGAGCCCTCAACACTTAAACCCAGTCATTGGGACAGCATTCGTTAAAACTGCGAATCCTGAGGGCTCTTCAGTAGCACACAACACACGCATTTAATCACACCCGAGATGAACGGGCATCGGTGGTTGAGGAACACGAGTTTGAGATTTGTTTTTCAAGTTTTAATTGCGATGTAAAGATAAATGCATTGAGCACTCCACATCTCCCGACCATTGTGCTTGGATATTACGTATATTAATCCTTATGCACTTTTGATGTTGAACTGAAAAGCACGGTCTTTCACAAGGACTGACAGAATCATTCCAATCGCATCAGCTGTTTTATTTGTTTTTCAATGCAATGCTGAGCACAATGCCAATACACCAACCTTCCCTAGCCAATTTGACAACCTACTCAAAAGATTGTGAATTACAATCAGGGCTACACCATGAGGCTCTGTGGAAGATTTTGCTGTTTTTTCCTGGATTTTTCTGTTGCGCGGAGTCACTTTAAGATATTCTTGGTTATTTTATTGTTTCCCTTCTACGTGACTTTACCAAAAGAACCAAGAATATGAATCCCTGCAGTCACGAAAGCTTTAAATCAAATTTCACTTTAAGATGTTCTTTGTTCATGTTTTTGTTTGTTGCGGTTGCACCCGAGTCAAGAGCCGCATGGTTCACAGGCTTACACCTAATAAATGAAACTGAAACTGTGGTCTAAGCTGTTGCTTTACTTGCAATGCAGAGAACAATGGACATACATCAGCAATGATGCCAGCGTATACGATTGAAAGGTGTATGAACTGTATTCTTAGTTTTTTCGGTAAAGTCACGTTGAAGAGAAACAACAAAATAACAAAATATATATAAAACAATAAAAAATTCTCACGACGTTTCGACCATAACTCAAACGGTCATCATCAGGTGTGTCGGTTTGCATAAAATTTATTTTGAAAACGGCATATTTATTTATATATATAAAATAACGTTTGCGTCACGCGCAACGATTGGCTGTTTGCCAGGACTAGTCCATCTATTTTTTTGAAAAGAGGAGGGGGGAGACGAAATTTGTTTTTATGTATGCTGTCTGAAAGGCACTGTAAGCGTGAACAATCAATCAAGAACTGAAATGATTTATCAAACCTTTCCAATGATTGCTAAGATAGAATCCATCTTCTCGGTTGAAATTGTCTCTGTGTTTGTATATGTGGATAGCCTCATGAACGAATCTCTCATGGAAGCCAGATGGCTTACAAAGAACCTCCGTCTTGGAAAAGTCAATGGCATGTGAGCCTACTGAATTAGAACAATGATCTGCTACGGCCGAGGTGTTGGTCCTACCGTGTTTAAGGTCTGCTTTATGTTCACGAATGCGGTCCGAGATATGGCGTTTGGTTTCTCCAATGTAACTACTACCACAGAGGCAACTTAGTTTGTAGACACCAGGGTATTGTATGTCCGGAATCACATCTTTTACAGACGGAACCAGATCACGGATTTTATGTAATGTGTTGAAACGGACCTGGATCTTGTGTTTATTCAAGATTTTGGAGATCTTGAATAAACACAAGATCCAGGTCCGTTTCAACACATTACATAAAATCCGTGATCTGGTTCCGTCTGTAAAAGATGTGATTCCGGACATACAATACCCTGGTGTCTACAAACTAAGTTGCCTCTGTGGTAGTAGTTACATTGGAGAAACCAAACGCCATATCTCGGACCGCATTCGTGAACATAAAGCAGACCTTAAACACGGTAGGACCAACACCTCGGCCGTAGCAGATCATTGTTCTAATTCAGTAGGCTCACATGCCATTGACTTTTCCAAGACGGAGGTTCTTTGTAAGCCATCTGGCTTCCATGAGAGATTCGTTCATGAGGCTATCCACATATACAAACACAGAGACAATTTCAACCGAGAAGATGGATTCTATCTTAGCAATCATTGGAAAGATTTGATAAATCATTTCAGTTCTTGATTGATTGTTCACGCTTACAGTGCCTTTCAGACAGCATACATAAAAACAAATTTCGTCTCCCCCCTCCTCTTTTCAAAAAAAATAGATGGACTAGTCCTGGCAAACAGCCAATCGTTGCGCGTGACGCAAACGTTATTTTATATATATAAATAAATATGCCGTTTTCAAAATAAATTTTATGCAAACCGACACACCTGATGATGACCGTTTGAGTTATGGTCGAAACGTCGTGAGAATTTTTTATTGTTTTATATATATTTTGTTATTTTGTTGTTTCTCTTCAACGTGACTTTACCGAAAAACTAAGAATATGAATTACTGCAGTCACGAAAGCTTTAAATCAAAATTTAAAAAGTGTATGAACTGCTTATTTATTTTGTTACTAATATTCTCCACGAAGCCATTCGTTATAAATTTCCGTCAAACTTATATGTATGTTCAACTTCTTTCGCACCATATGTAACCACCCGTGCTAATGGGAGGTGCAGGGGAAGGACAACAAACTAATCACAAAAAGCAGTTCAGAAGATAATAGAGAATACCGTACGGTGAAACTCAGCTGAAATACACTCTGAAGTATTTGTAATCAAAGGTGCTTTATAATTTTGGAATAAAAGTCTCCCACAATTTGTTTATTTAACATTGCAATCACTACATATTTCCCATATATATGTCAAAACACAGCAAACTGATATTGTGCCTAGTAGATGTAGGGCCTAAGTTCGATATAATTTTTATAAATATACTAAATAAAAACTTGGCTTGAATACTGTGACATTTCACGTCTATTATTCAGGGTCAGCCAGGGCAGGTACTCCCTCTTCCGATGCCATCTGGGGTAAAAACAAAACACCCGCAGACATTAGAAACCAGCAATTATGTAAACACTCCTAGTGGATAGATATCAACCATACACCACTGCATGGGAGATTACAGAGCTGTTATTTTACATAACATTATTAGAGAGCTGATGTTACAGGATGTAACCAACGCTCAATCTGTAATCCAATAGTGTGGTCAGGTTGCTCAGCGGTATCGAGATAGCTCACAATCAGACGGTTGCAATGTTCAAATCCTGGTTGAGGTAGTTGCATCGTCTCTCTGGGTCGATCAAATAGGTACCACTTTGTGGGGAAAAGTCAACAGTGGCTGTCCTATCGATAGAATCGCCCTAAGCCAAAGGAACGTGAGGATTAGCATAACTTCAATGCTCATTAGAGCAGCAAGTAATTTAATGCAGCCAATGGTGTAAATTCTACATTCCTATGGGGGGCAAGTCTATCCATTGGACAACTACTGTTGACTTCTCCGCAAAGTGATAATATTTTATCGATCCGGGATAATACGATGAGTCAACCCCCAATCAGGATTTGAACTTGGAACTTTCCTATTGCAAGCCACTCACTCTGACACTGAGACACCTGGCCGGTTATATTGGGGACTAATCACATTACGTAACACACCACCACCCCACCCACAGCAAACAATCACGAGAGCACAGCAAGATTTGCCCACATGGCAGACGAGTGAGCCACAGAACCAGAGGGAGCGCATGATCGAGCTCAATCCTCCCTGCACCCCACACAATCACCAGGAGCCCAGCAGCAGTGACAGGAAGAGTGCAGTACACACACAGAGGCTGCGAGCTGCAAACCTTTCCCACATCGTTCCCAGCCTCCTCCTCATCCTCCTCCTCAGTCGCCACCACCACCGTCTTATTTCTTTCTGTAATTACATCATCGTCCCGTGCGGAGAGACCCGTAGCCTCTTGACCATACGAGACCTCAAACTCTGTTTTCTCGGCAGTGGCCTCCTCCTCAGACGCCGCCACCACCACTGTATAATTTGTTTCTGTAATTACATCATTGTCCAGTGCGGAGAGACCCGTAGCCTCTTGACCATACGAGACCTCAAACTCTGTTTTCTCAGCAGTGGCCTCCTCCTCAGCCGCCACCACCAACATCTTATTTCTTTCTGTAATTACATCATCATCATCCCGTGTAGAACGGCTGGTGTCCTCCTGGTCGTACGAGACCTCAAACTTAATTTTCTCGGCAGAAGCTGCCTCCTCTTCAGCCACCACCGAATCATTTATTTCTGTAATTACACCATCGTCCTGTGTGGAGAGACCGGTGGACTCTAGACCATACGAAACCTCAAACTCCACTTTTTCAGCAGTGGCTAAATCCTCTTCAGCCACCACCACCTCATTTTTTTCTGTAGTTACAGTATCATCATCATCATCCTCTGCAGAGAGACCGGCAGCCTCTTTGCCACCCAAGACCTCCATTTCAGTTTTCCCGGCGGCCGTTGCTTCCGCCTCATCCTCTCCGGGCGGCTGCTCCCCTGCCCGTGCATCGCTGCCTGCAACTCCGTCGTCTAGGTCGGCGCCGGGCAACGCTGCGCCGTTACCGGATCTACCGCCCACGCCGTCGGCCGCCCCGGCTCGGGCGCCGGCGGCGGGACTTACGTCGACGTTGGTCCTTTCGACTTCGTCATCCCTGCTCGTGTCTGGCGCGCCATCATCCCCGCCGGCTCCTCCCTCCCCGTCTCCGTGCTGTTCCGTCATCTCGCCGTCCCCGTCTCGCGCTTCGGCTGCATCGGTGGCGACGGCGGTGGTGGGCGTCTGACCGCGAGCCTGCGCTGACAGCTCGGTTATTCCACCCTCATTGTCTCTTCGCTCATCGTCCTGCGAGCAAATATGCATCAGTTCAGCATGGCGCAATCACTCGTGTATGGCACACCGTAAAGCCAACGATGATTTAACGATTTACTCCTGTGTTTCATCGGGTCCGAAGACTCCAACTGTTTCCCTTGCATTCAAGTCCAAATTCCTTGCACTACTATTCCGTAATTTGATCAGAAATTATTCTGATGATTACACGATATTGTAGCGGTTTTATTCTCTTTTTCACATCTTAACCCAAGGCTTTTATATAGTTTGTTGCATTAATATGTTTGTATCAATATACAATTATTTTTTTACGTCTTTCAACGCAATTTCTTTCTGATAATTAACATTTTTAGCAACGCTTAGTGAAGCATCTTGAGCTGCGATATCATAAGACGCCGCACAAGACGACGCTGCCTTGTGTGTGACGCGTGCTTGGCACGCGGTAAACACCAACGTTGACCGAACGCCTCGACGCACTGCAAGGCAACCGACGGCCGCTCTTAACCAAGTCTCACGATAATGCATGGAGACGCAGCGCACCATCAACTTGGCAAGGGGAACACGGTCACCAGAGCAGGATCACAACCATCATCGCCATTTATCCTCACTGCAGCTAATACGTACCACTTGCTTGTGAAAGCCTCATGAGCACCAGCATGTCACAAGAATTCACCTTCCCAGCCATACCGATGTGTATTCATATATTAACCAACTGTAGTGAAATACTCAACCTTGTTATGTTACCTTCTTTGTGAGTGTTTAACATGGTAAGCTGTGTTTTATTTGGGAAATTACACTAACATTGAAAACGATGTTATTGCTATTATTTCTTGAAAGCATCTACAACACAGTAGTCAAGGGCACAATAATAATAATAATGCCAATTATGTACCAAGAGTTAACAAGCATCATTATTATTTACCAAGAAGATCCAGTGATTTGGTCTAAGAGGTGGTTAAGAGGTCAGAGCGCTGAGCTGGCACCTCTTGAGGTCCTGGGTTCGAATCCAGCTATCAGCCACCTGTGCTTAACCAGTTTCTCAAGTCTTTTGAGTGTCTCAGCGCAGTCACCGATGACTGCACAAATACAAAAAAAAGTTACTTTGAATTTGGTTCTGCACTTAATTTGGCTGAATTACAAATCTGAGAATTGTCAACATGTCACTGTATGTTTGACACCCTGGTCACCCTCGCAAATGAGATGTTCCAAGCAATTATCCAGGTGAAATATTTGAATAAATAACCAATGAAGTAATATAACACGTCTCTAACATCAAAGGTTGCACTGCTCTCGAAGACATGCCAATGGATTCTTCGTCACCTGACGCAATGTCGACAGCGCAATCATGACAAAATTGGGGGAATTTTTTTAAAAGATAAAACAGTGATTAACACGTAGGTTTTCACAGCCAATATATTAAGAGGGCCTGACCCAACAAATCAATGATGAAAGGAGTGATTTGGGCGTAGGCGTACCACCAATCTCCCCGTCTCCCTCAGGTCACAAATTTAGTTTTCCGGTCATGAAAGAATGTTGAATTGAGACGACCTTGTCTACAAACACGACGCGTGTGTGTGGGGCGAGGATTGTGAGTGCGTGTCCCTGCATGCCCAAGCCCCCAAGGTGCATAGTGCCGGAATGCGCAAGCGAAGACTGCACCTCGTGAACGCTACTCTCGTCTCCCTCCTGCAGCGTGGGCAGCGTTGGTGCCCCCGGCCGAGAGAAGGCATCAACCAAAGTCCTATCCTCGGCCACCTGCTCAACCTCCTGGCACCACAGAGCGAACGTGACGGCCAAACATTTCGCCACAAATCATACACACACACACACAAAGATAGCGATCACATACCAATACCCGCCATTTGCCACTAACTGCTGCTGACGTCACTGCAGTGCCTGTGCCAGGCCAGGTGCACTTTGAGGCCGTGTGAAGTGTGGAAGGCTCGCTAACAGAGATGTCACGGGACACACCCAGGTGCTATGAGTTGATTGACTGAGATGACTGGCAGATGCACCAGCTATGCCCCCTACTGTGCCAACTTGCTGCATTTTATCCACCCAGCGCTCCGCTCGTTGTTGTGAGCGTCGTTCCTCTGCCCTCCATATTACAAAACAAAGATCCTCCATATAGCCTTAACAGACTGTAGGGGCAAGTGCTGTTAGCGAGCACCTATGAAGGCCGGAACGGTACACGAGGGGGTGGGTGGCCAGCACCACGCCCGACCGCCTTTGTCTCCCTAGTGGCGATGTTTACACACTGCACCAGGTACTCATTTGAGGCTGAGTCGACCTAGGGGAGGCCCAGGACCGGTTCAGATAATCGTCACCGGTGTTGGCCGTGAGCGGGAATCGAACCCGGGTCGCCAGGTTCATAGCGCAGCGCGCTAACCGCTACACTATCGCTCCCCACGATATTACACACACACACATACACAAATTATACAACACATACACACCACGTAGAAACATACGCACAAGATCGGCAGTTTAGCCAACACAGACTTCTGTGGCAAGTGCTGTTATGAAGCACCTATGAAGGCCGGCACGGCCCGCGAAAGCATTAGTGTGGCCGGCACAATGGCGGATACAAGTACACACACAGATGTCCATACACAGACATGTCCTTGCCGTGAAACTACTCAGATGTGGAAAAACCAGTTGCAGACGACCCAACTTGACAGGTAGTTCCCAGCGGCCATGCCTACAAACCTGCGGCGGTTGTATTGTTTCTGACGAATTCTGCAGCCTCTCATCTTCCAGCTTCAGCTGCTCCTGCTTCTCTAATGGCCTCTGTGCTTCCCTCTGCGCTTCCCGCTCTGCTTCTCTCAGTGCTTCTCTCTCCGCTTCTCTCTGGGTCTCCTGCGAGGCAGCCTCCTCCCTCTGCTTCTGAAGCTCCACCATCTCCTCTGCCCTCTACAAACGGGACATGCGGTACAGAAAATAACATGGTCAATTATGTGGAGTGTTATTTCCATTCAAATGAGGGTTGCTAAATAACAAGTGGTAACCGTTCTCAGCATCGATTAGTCAGGAAGGGGTAACCATTTCCAGTGGAATGTTAGCAATGAACGGACCGATTGGCTTGTGCGAATGTAAAAACGGCACAGTGGAACTAAAGTCATCGCATGCGACATTTGCTTGTTTATCAGTTGAAAAATAAAGGTGCAGCTCTGAAACTGCTTACGCACGCCACTGCAGGCAGAAGGGTACACAGCTGTAGGGGGGATGTAAGAAACTTGCCCAATTTGTTGCAATTGCCACACTGGGAGTTGGAATCAAAACAGCAACTGGGGGAATTGCATGTCCAGTGCCAACCATGACACCATAGCAGCTTCCTTTGTTTGTCAGTTAAAAGGGTAAAATGGCTATGTTCATTCGAAAACAATTCTATACGTGCCGGAAATCCGTGACCCATTTTAAAAAAATGTTATTGCGGTTACCGGTAATGCAAAAAGCATTTTAATAACCCTAATCTCAATGCAGTCTTGTATTGGGTTGGGAAAAATACACAATATTCCACTGCCGTCTCCTGCCAACCTCACAGCCTGGAAGGTTAGCGAGTTTCACAAATCTATATAAAACATACAAACCTTGCCTCTGAAAACATTGGAATCACAGCACGCATGACTACCACATTAGTTAATATTTGTGCTTTTGGCTGTTTAAATGTAGTCAGTGAACGAGCTGGTATTACGTAGTTTTGCCCTTGTCGGTTCAAGTTCTTACCTGTTAAAATAATATAAACTGCCTGCCTGTGGCTGTATGGCTGTGCCGGCAGCAGATTTCAGGGCGACTAAACTATACAAAGTTGGCGCTGTGGGAGGAGCACAATCGGTGCATCTGTCAGTTATCTCAGTCAGTCAACAACCCACGGGCACCTGGATCCATTCCATGACCGGCTGCCATCGGGACATCTGCACGTGGCCTAGCATGGCACAAGCGCCTTGGTGACGGTTGGTGTTGTTGTTGGGAAGAGTTGGGGGCCGTCCATAAATGACGTCACGCGATTTTTGACCCCCCCCCCTTCGTCACACGGTGTCACAAAAAGACAGCCCCCCCCCTCAAATATGACGTCACAAAGCTCTGCCCCCTCCCCCCAAAAAATAAAACATACTTCAAATCGCTTTAAACTGTTGTCATTGTAGTGCGTATTTAATGTGGCGCTGCACTCTTGATGTTGTAGGAAAAAAAACATTTACCAAAAAGTCTATTTAATTAAGTAGAACGTGTTGTCTACATTTATTTTTAAATTTGCGCATTTTGATGTGAAGTCACATTTCTCAAACAACACCCCCCCCCCTCTCTCGTCACGCATCGTCACAAATGTCTGAACCCCCCCCCCCCCCCCCGCCTTGGTGCTCACCGCCGCAGCGTGCGCGGCGTTCTCGCGGTACTTGTACAGCCACAGAGCCAGATGCTCGATGGGATCCGCCGGGCGCCGGAGCACCAGGTCGGCCAGGCCGGCCGCCAGACACGGGCCCATGCGCAGCTTCAGGTATTCTGAGTCCATGGCGAGAGGCTGGATGGAGACAATCGCACGGATCAGAAATGTGGAGGGGCGCCCGCGAGCGGTCGCAACACTGGTGGATCCCTCCGAGACCTAGAAATGTTGACGCTTACCAAAGAAAGCGAACGTAATGTTTCGTTGCGATTATAATTGACGTTATTTTAAAAAAAGCCTGAAATTTTTTCAAGGACCGTTCTATGGGTCAGAAGAAGTACCGCCACCGCCGCTGGAAATCACAAATTGTTTTGTGGCCCATGATGGGGTTGCCACCCATCCTGGGTTTCCCAGGATTGTCCTCTTATTGAGGCAGCTTTGATTGTATGTATGCAGAACTTCTTTCGCACCATACATAGCCGATCGTGACAATCGTCACGATGCGGATGATAGGCCGAGTCAACTACACAACCAGGATTTGAACTCGCAACCTTCCGATTTTGAGCCACCTGACAGGTTATTTGAATTCTTACCACAGTTAATTTTTTGAACGAACAGCAAGTTCAGCAACCTCTGCACTGCAATTCACAGCGCTTCTCTTTCTGCTTGTGCCCTCCCACAGGACCAGAATATTTATGTATCCTGCAGAAGGAATCCGATGAGCTACAAAGCTCTTTTTCACACACGTTCAAGTAGTGCGGGTACCACAATAATACAAAAAAACACGATAGTAATACAAAAACATGCTCAAATTTGGAATTCCCTCCAATCGTGCTCCCCCCCACCACCACCACGTTCTCATAAGCTGAAGGATTTTTACGATTTTAATTTATAAGACGCTTGCTTAAATGGCTCGGGAAATTTAATCCCATTATTAACATAGCAGCTCAATCAATCCGTATCTTGCTCAATTCAACAACCGTATTCACTGTAATAATCTTCAACGGTGCTGTTTGTTGCCGGCCTCTTGGCGGCGTGTGACATCTGGGCCTGTGCTCAGCACCCACGATTTAAAAATGAAAGTTACAAAAAATAAATGTTAGCACCCTCTTACCAATTGTAAGCGAAGATATCCGCGTCTCGGAAGGACTGTCCTTTGAAGACTACCGGAATTATTCTAGCGATCTACTGTGTCTGTAAGATAAAAAAAAACACAAAAATGTCCCTGTTATTGATAATAAACGCGTAATTATACAAATTCACCCAAGCCGTAACTTTACGTGATCTTCATCACTGACTCGCTCCCCTGGTCGCCCTAGCAACGGGGCCTAGTCTGTTACCATAGCAACTGGACGCGCACCACCCCCCGCAACTCGTTGTGACACCGCGAGCGGAGCGAGGCGGCTCGCTGCGACCCCATTTCTGCACCACCTCTAGGGAGTTGATTGCATTCGCGGGCGACTCGTTCGTCGTCGGTGGTGGTGGAGGGGCAGCGCGGTGGATCCGGCGGAGAGATTGTACCTCTTTCTCCCTGCCAGCGTCGCCTGCCAACCCTGGAGAAGCCTCGCGGTGAAGGCCGCCCCGGTGGGGGGGGGGGGGGTGTGGGGGGGGTGTTGGGGTGGGGGGACCCTGCGGTCAGATTCCGCAACGCGGATTGGCCCACCCGCGGGGTCGCGCTTCTCTCCCATTGGGTCCCACCATTGGTCGACGCGCTGACCAATCACGCGACGCGGCTGCCTGATGCGCGCTGGGAAATTCGAAACAGTGCGGGGGGGAGGAGGTGTCGGGGGGGGTGGGAGGAGGGAGTAGGGGGGAGTGGGGGGGTGGAGGGGGTGGGGGGGGTGGGAGGAGGGGGTGGGGGGGAGGAGGTCTCGGGGGGGGTGGGAGGAGGGGGAGGGGGGGAGGAGGGGGCAGGAGGGGGAGGGGGTGGGGGGGAGGAGGGGGTGGGGGGGAGGAGGGGGTGGGGGGGAGGAGGGGGTGGGGGGGAAGGCCCGTGGCGAGGTCACGTGGTCGGGAACCGGCACGTGAAAAAAAACAACACCCCCAAAGTGTTTCCTCTCAATATTGACAATGCGTGGCCTTCATATACTGTATAGTAGGCGACGTTTCGGGTGATGGCCCTTCTCCGGAGCACGCAATTACGAACAAGGGCCATTATACGAAACGTCGCCTCTCAGTTCACATGCAACGTTGGCCCACCGTTGCATGTTTTCTTCTGGGCAATTTTATATTTATTAGAATTTCTTACTCCTGCGGAGGGCTTCTCAACACTCCTCGCCAATGTGTGCAGATACTCCTGGGGTTTACCCCAAAGTTCATTAGATTTATTTTTATTTCACCCTCCATCCAGGACCGCAACTATCAAAACTCTTAAACGAATGCTCGATGAATGGAAAAGTATGTATTTCTGGAAAATTGATTAAACAATAATTGATTAACACATTAAGGGGGCGTCCATAAGTGACGTCATGCACCTGGGGGGGAGTCAGACATGACGATGTGTGACGAGGGGGATGGTTTGAGAGATGTGACGTCACATCAAAATGCGCAACTTTAAATAAATATAGACGACACGTTCTACTTAATTAAATAGACTTTTAAATAAATGTTTTCTCCTACAACATCAGAGTACAGCGCCACATTAAATACGCACTACAATGACAATAGTTTAAAGCGATTTGAAGCATGTTTTATTTTCAAAATGGAAACATGGTTTGGGGGGGGGGTAGAGCTTTGTGACGTCATATTTGAGGGGGTGGGTCTGACTTTTTGTGACGCCGTGTGACGAGGGGGGGGGGTCAAAAATCGTCCAAAATCGCGTGACGTCATTTATGTACGGCCCCTTAGCGACCTTGAGGGTACACATGGGTGCCAGATGGTTCACTGTAAGTTAACAGTGGACTCTGGTGAGGCCCACGCACGTTTGAGTGGCCAAAGGCGTCGATTTGTGTTTTAGTTTATTGCGCTGCACCACTGCCAACGGCGCTGCACCACCACCACCACGAGATTAACAAACTCGGGCAGAGGAGGGGCGCGGTGCAGAGGGGCGTGGCGGGGTGAGATGGGGGGAAGGGGGAGGGGGGAGGGGTGAGAAGGGGGAGAGGGGTGAGGGGTGAGCAGAGGGGGGGTGGGAGGGGTGAGGGGGGGGGGGTGAGAAGAGGGGGAGGGGTGAGGGGGGGTGAGAAGAGGGGGGAGGGGTGAGGGGGGGAGCGGTGAGAGGAGGGGGGGTGGGAGGGGTGAGGGAGAGGTGAGAAGGGGGGGAGGGGTGAGGGGGGGAGGGGTGAGAAGGGGGGAGGGGTGAGGGGGGGTGAGAAGGGGGGAGAAGGGGTGAGAAGGGGGGGAGGGGTGAGAAGAGGGGGGGGAAGAGGGGGAGGGGTGAGGGGGGGGTGAGAAAGGGGGAGGGGTGAGAAGGGGGGAGGGGTGAGGGGGGGTGAGAAGGGGGGGAGGGATGAGAAGAGGGAGGGGTGAGAAAGGGGGGAGGGGTGAGAAGAGGGAGGGGTGAGAAGGGGGGGGTGTATCCGGATCCGTTTCCACGTCGCATCCGCTAGGGGGGAGGGGGCATGCATCGATTCATCGATTTATTAAATTGTTTTGCTATGAAAAGGAGGGCACAATCGACGTGTGTGGATCGACGTAATGTGCGAATCGACGTCACGCGTGGCTCCATTAGCCTCAAGCAGTCTAAGGTGGTCCCATTAATTCCTGCAGCAGATTCCATGCAACAGCTGCAGTGGCGGTCGGAGGGTTCCCCCCAAAGCCGATGGACACAGCCCCTGCACCCAAGCTGATTGCACGGCTCCATCTACCCGTGGAGTCATCGATTGTGCTAATGTGCAAATTCTATTGAGGGGTCTTGGTCACTCGGTGTGGTCTTGGGACTGTTTTGGGGTGTTGTTTTGCTGTCTTACCCCAATTTAGTGTTGAAACATCGGCAGGAATGTATCTACTTATGCAATTTGTACTTTTTTATATTTTATTGATTTGTATAAATACATTTATTTTCAGAAAGTACTTTTTTGTGACTTTCATTTTCTCTATTCTTGCACTGCTGTTGTTTTTTTTTGTATTGTCTGTTGTAACTTGCTGGACTGCCCCGGACGTGGACGTCTGTGAATAAAGAGCTTTGTAGCTCATCGGATTTCTCCTGGTGGTCAAATGTTGCAATCAAAAGTTAAGTCTACTTCCTGTTCAATCAATTCCAAATTGTGCACACGTACTCATATCCGGTGACAATGCATGCCTGTATCAAAATCGGCATCAATTGGCTCTTTTAAAGCAATTAACATTTTGTATGGACGGCTTTATTATTTAAATATTTATTTGTGTAGGTTTAAAAACGCCGCGGTCCCTAAACTCTGGAATCGCCTCGCCCGAGAGGCAGGCGCCACGTGTCTCGGAGTCATTACTAAAGTAATTAAATCAGGCAAGCGTTGATGTGGGAGCGGGCGCAGCATCATTGACGTACTTCTCGACGGTGAGTTAAACGAACAACTTGTAAATCTAGAAGTCGTGAAAAATAGTTCTTAAGCTTCATTCCTCTGTCTGTCGTGGTCAAAGCTTGTAATTAAGATGTCGTCCACATCCCGTTGTCCCATCGAGTTATTTACTTTTTAGTGCTCTTTGAACTAAAAGCGTTTTTAAAAAAAAAATGAGTTTATTGCGTTTCTGTTGTCACTTTCTGACACCCTCCGCTATGCAAACATTCTCATGCAGATTCGGCTCCCGTTTATTCCGCTGCAAAGGAATCGATTTCGCAATCGATTCTAGATTCGGAATCGCGACAAAGCTGAATCGCGGGTCCCGTCATCTCGACCACGGCCACCGCGCTCCGTGGCGGATAGATCGGAACCAACAACAACACCACCACTACCAACAACAACAACACCACAACCAACAACACTATCAACAACAACACCACTACCAACAACACTATCAACAACAACACCACTACCAACAACACCACTAACCAACAACAACACCACCACTAACCAACAACACCACAACACCACAACCAACAACACCACAACCAACAACAACACCACCACCACTAACCAACAACAACACCACTACCAACAGCACCACAACCAACAACAACACCACTACCAACAACAACACCACTACCAACAACAACAACGCCACCACTAACCAACAACAACACCACTACCAACAACAACAACACTACCAACAACACCACCACTACCAACAACACCACCACTACCAACAACACCACCACTACCAACAACAACACCACCACCAACAACACCACAACCAACAACACCACCACTACCAACAATACCACCACTACCAACAACAACACCACCACTAACCAACAACAACACCACTACCAACAATAACACCACCACTAACCAACAACACCACCACTAACCAACAACAACACCACAACCAACAACACCACAACCAACAACAACACCACCAACAACACTATCAACAACACCAAAAACACCACTACCAACAACACTACTAACAACAACACCACCAACAACAATACTACCAACAACACTATCAACAACAACAACACCACTACCAACAACACCACTACCAACAACACCACTACCAACAACACTATCAACAACACCACCAACAACAACACTACTAACAACACCACCACCACTACCAACAACAATACTACCAACAACACTATCAACAACACCACCACTACCAACAACACCACCACTACCAACAACACCACTACCACTACCAACACCACCACTACCAACAACACCACCACTACCAACAACACCACTACCAACAACACTACCACTATCAACAACACCACCACTACCAACACCACTACCAACAACACTACCAACAACACCACTAACACCAACACCACTAACACCAACACCACTAACACTAACACCACTAACACCAACACCACAACCAACAACACCACTACCAACAACACCACTACCAACAACACTACCACTATCAACAACACTACCACTATCAACAACAACACCACTACCAACAACACCACTAACACCAACACCACTAACACCAACACCACTAACACCAACACCACAACCAACAACACCACTACCAACAACACCACTACCAACAACACCACTACCAACAACACTACCACTATCAACAACACCACCACTACCAACAACACCAACACCACAACCAACAACACCACCACCACTACCAACAACAACACCACCACTAACCAACAACACCACCACTAACCAACAACACCACCACTACCAACAACACCACTACCAACAACACCACTACCAACACCACCACTACCAATAATACCACTACCAATAACACCACTACCACCACTACCAACAACACTACCACCACTAACCAACAACACTACCACCACTAACCAACAACACTACCACCACTACCAACAACACTACCACCACTACCAACAACACCACCACTACCAACAACACCACTACCACCACTACCAACAACACCACTACCACCACTACCAACAACACCACTACCACCACTACCAACAACACCACTGCCAACAACACCACCACTATCAACAACACCACCACTATCAACAACACCACCACCACTACCAACAACACCACTACCACCACCAACATCACCACCACTAACACCACTAACCAACACTACCACCACTACCAACAACACCACCACTACCACCACTAACCAACAACACGAACACCACCACACTGCCAGTAACACCGCTACCTATTCACACGGTGACAGTCGACAAAACTGTCTGAAACCACTATCAACAACTCTCAAAACCACCACCGCTGCTATCCGCGACACTAACACGACTACCACCAACCTCTCCCGCCTGCGTCTCCCTTGACTCTCATAGCAGAGGATTCCCCAGGGTCTGCGTGGAGACTAAGAGAGTCGGGACAGGAGGAGAAGCGGCTGCTGTTGTTCGTTGGCACAAGACATGAGGACACGTGGGCTGGCGGTGGGGAGGTCGTGGCTGCTGCTCCTGCTGCCCTTGTTGATGTGTGTGGTGGCGCGGGGCGGCTGGGTGGCCGAGCGGGTGAAGGAACTGCGGCAAGGCGTGCAGCTGCTGGATGGTTACCTGGACTCGGCAATGGAGTACCTGGGAGGGGAAGATGGAGTGTGTGAATACACGTGCCCCAATGGTAATTGGTGGCAGTGGTGGTTTGGAGGGGGAGGGGGCGGCATAGCTCACCCACCTTGATGCTGACAACTACAAGACACCAACATTGCCATGTGACACCAACCATTCACACCAACACTACCATGTGACATCAACCATTCACACCAACACCACCATGTGACACCAACACTACCATGTGACACCAACCATTCACACCAACACCACCATGTGACACCAACCATTCACACCAACACTACCATGTGACACCAACCATTCACACCAACACTACCATGTGACACCAACACTACCATGTGACACCAACACTACCATGTGACACCAACCATTCACACCAACACTACCATGTGACACCAACACTACCATGTGACACCAACCATTCACACCAACACTACCATGTGACACCAACCATTCACACCAACACTACCATGTGACACCAACCATTCACACCAACACTACCATGTGACACCAACACTACCATGTGACACCAACCATTCACACCAACACTACCATGTGACAGCAACCATTCACACCAACACTACCATGTGACACCAACCATTCACACCAACACTACCATGTGACACCAACCATTCACACCAACACTACCATGTGACACCAACCATTCACACCAACACTACCATGTGACACCAACATTACCATGTGACACCAACCAGTCACACCAACACTACCATGTGACACCAACCATTCACACCAACACTACCATGTGACACCAACCAGTGACACCAACACTACCATGTGACACCAACTATTCACACCAACACTACCATGTGACACCAACACTACCATGTGACACCAACCATTCACACCAACACTACCATGTGACACCAACCATTCACACCAACACTACCATGTGACACCAACCATTCACACCAACACTACCATGTGACACCAACCATTCACACCAACACTACCATATTACACCAACCATTCACACCAACACTACCATGTGACACCAACCATTCACACCAACACTACCATGTGACACCAACCATTCACACCAACACTACCATGTGACACCAACACTACCATGTGACACCAACCATTCACACCAACACTACCATGTGACACCAACCATTCACACCAACACTACCATGTGACACCAACCATTCACACCAACACTACCATGTGACACCAACCATTCACACCAACACTACCATGTGACACCAACCATTCACACCAACACTACCATGTGACACCAACCATTCACACCAACACTACCATGTGACACCAACATTACCATGTGACACCAACACTACCATGTGACATCAACCATTCACACCAACACTACCATGTGACACCAACATTACCATGTGACACCAACCAGTCACACCAACACTACCATGTTACACCAACCATTCACACCAACACTACCATGTGACACCAACCATTCACACCAATATTACCATGTGACACCAACCATTCACACCAATATTACCATGTGACACCAACCAGTGACACCAACACTACCATGTGACACCAACTATTCACACCAACACTACCATGTGACACCAACTATTCACACCAACACTACCATGTGACACCAACACTACCATGTGACACCAACCATTCACACCAACACTACCATGTGACACCAACCATTCACACCAATACTACCATGTGACACCAACACTACCATGTGAGACCAACCATTCACACCAACACGACCATGTGACACCAACCATTCACACCAATACTACCATGTGACACCAACCATTCACACCAACACTACCATGTAACATCAACCATTCACACCAATACTACCATGTGACATCAACCATTCACACCAACACTACCATGTGACATCAACCATTCACACCAACACTACCATGTGACACCAACACTACCATGTGACATCAACCATTCACACCAACACTACCATGTGACACCAACACTACCATGTGACACCAACCATTCACACCAACACTACCATGTGACACCAACACTACCATGTTACACCAACCATTCACACCAACACTACCATGTGACATCAACCATTCACACCAACACTACCATGTGACACCAACCATTCACACCAACACTACCATGTGACACCAACCATTCACACCAACACTACCATGTGACACCAACCATTCACACCAACACTACCATGTGACACCAACACTACCATGTAGCATCAACCATTCACACCAACACTACCATGTGACACCAACCATTCACACCAACACTACCATGTGAGACCAACCATTCACACCAACACGACCATGTGACACCAACCATTCACACCAACACTACCATGTGACACCAACCATTCACACCAACAATACCATGTGACACCAACCATTCACACCAATACTACCATGTGACACCAACCATTCACACCAATGCTACCATGTGACACCAACCAGTCACACCAACACTACCATGTGACATCAACCATTCACACCAACACTACCATGTGACACCAACACTACCATGTGAGATCAACCATTCACACCAACACTACCATGTGACACCAACCATTCACACCAACACTACCATGTGACACCAACACTACCATGTTACACCAACCATTCACACCAACACTACCATGTGACACCAACCATTCACACCAACACTACCATGTGACATCAACCATTCACACCAACACTACCATGTGACACCAACACTACCATGTGACATCAACCATTCACACCAACACTACCATGTGACATCAACCATTCACACCAACACTATCATGTGACACCAACCATTCACACCAACACTACCATGTGACACCAACCATTCACACCAACACTACCATGTGACACCAACCATTCACACCAACACTACCATGTGACACCAACACTACCATGTGACACCAACCATTCACACCAACACTACCATATTACACCAACCATTCACACCAACATTACCATGTGACACCAACACTACCATGTGACACCAACCATTCACACCAACACTACCATGTGACACCAACCATTCACACCAATACTACCATGTGACACCAACACTACCATGTTACATCAACCATTCACACCAACACTACCATGTGACACCAACACTACCATGTGACACCAACACTGCCATGTGACATCAACCATTCACACCAACACTACCATGTAACACCAACCATTCACACCAACACTACCATGTGACACCAACCATTCACACCAACACTACCATGTGACACCAACCATTCACACCAACATTACCATGTGACACCAACCATTCACACCAACACTACCATGTGACACCAACCATTCACACCAACACTACCATGTGACATCAACCATTCACACCAACACTACCATGTGACACCAACCATTCACACCAACACTACCATGTGACACCAACCATTCACACCAACACTACCATGTGACACCAACCATTCACACCAACACTACCATGTGACACAAACCATTCACACCAACACTACCAAACAGTACGATACTACCTGCATACCTGTCAACCCCTTATCAGTGCCCTACCTTATTACAGACCAATTCAGACCTTATTGGTCACCCTGTGCCCTTATAAATCTCAACGTTCATCCTACAAATTCCCATCACAAGGGAGAAACACGAACAAATAGAAAAAACTGTGATTTTCGGCTGTACGCCGTATGGACCTGAAAACTGAATTTCCCTGTACAAGAAAACGAGCGAACCGTGTGGGTTAACAGGTATGCTACCTGTCACTTGCCAGCAACACCCCAACACTGCCACCAGTAGTCACCCACACACTCTATAGCTCACCAACCCTCATCTAAATCATGCACTCATCCACTCAACCAACCCTCTCATCTACTCACCTGCTGACTCATCCACTTATGTACTCGCTCACCCACCCACTCACCCACCCACTTACTCAACCACTCACTCAACCACTCAGTCACCCGCTCGCTCACTCACTCAGTCACCCAACCACTCACTCAGTCACCCAACCACTCAGTCACCCAACCACTCACTCAGTCACCGACTCGCTCACTCAGTCACCCAACCACTCAACCAATCACTCAACTACTCATTCAACCACTCACACTCATCCACTCACCCTATCATTCACCCACGCACTTTATCACTCAACCTCTCACAACCTCTCACACCCACCCACACATTCACCGCTCACTCGTTCTCTCCCTGCCGTTCAGGAGCCAAACCCGAGCCACGACGCGACTACACCCCGGCCGCGCCAAATGGATGCGGCTCCCCGGTGTTCGGCATTCAGGTGCCCCCCACTCCCTGCCCCCCTCTCCACTCCCTGCCCCCCTGCCCCCCATCCCCCCTCACCTCCTGTCTCCTCACTCCTTGCCCTCCACTCCACCTGAATTACCCCAACGTCATACCCCCACTTCTTCCCTGCCCCCCACATCTCCTAGCTCTCCGCCCCCCAACTCTGATCACTCCCCACTCCCTTGCAATCCTCCCCGTCCAATCTCTCCCAGCCTCCTCAATGAAGCCGGATACAAACTCAATGTCCACGACCGTGGAGCGTTGAGGATTTGTAAATACGTAAATAACCCCATAGCCTTTCATTCTGTATCTCCATCTCCACATATAAATAAAACGACATGAAATAATTCGTTTCCTCCCTCGACATTCCGTTAACCAGCGGCAATTGCTTAAATGCGCGTGCACGCACAACAGGTTTCGCCCTCTCGGGTCGCATCAGCAGCATCAGCCGTGTCCAACAAACACTGCGGGTCACTGGTGGGAGCGCTCCCTCTAAACCAGGGGTGGGCAAAATTTTGGACTCACGGGCCACAATGGGTTTTAAAATTTGACAGAGGGGCCAGGCCAGGAACAGATGGATGGAGTGTTTGTGTGAACTAATATAAATGACATGTAAAAATAATTACATGAAAGGATTTGGCCTTTAACAGGTAGCAAAGCATTTTTTTGCAAGGCAATTTAACAAATTGCACGAACATGAGCAATACAAAAACATGACGTAATGTGACTGATCAAACATCATGAAAACATCTGAGGCCAGCACCCAAACCAATGACCTCACTTGAACTTAAATTTCGATTTAAAGCTTTCGTGACTGCAAGGATTCATCTTCTTTGGTTCTTTCGGTAAAGTCACGTAGAATGAGAACAAAATAATAAAATAACACAATAAAAATTCTCACGACGTTTCGGCCACAACGCAAGCGGCCGTCTTCAGGTGAAAGGTACAGACCTGTCGGGACGAAAGAGCTTCAATGAACGATGTTAAGATTCGTAGCGACTTTTAAGCTGGTTGGGAGAAGTGAGGCACCTTGACAAAGGGGTTTACATATGAAATAGCTGAGGGATTAGCTTGTGACTGGTCACAGGAATGACTATGTTAAAGTCAAAACCTACACATCCGTGAAGCTCTGTGGATGTGTAGGCCTTTACTTTAACATCTATTTCTGTGACCTGTCACAAGCTAATCCCTTAGCTATTTCAATGCTAAATTACTAGTTGCCTCTGTGGATGTGTAGGTTTTGACTTTAACATAGCCATTTCTGTGACCAGTCACAAGCTAATCCCTCAGATATTTGCACAAGCTAATCCCTTAGCTATTTCAATGCTAAATTACTAGTTGCCTCTGTGGATGTGTAGGTTTTGACTTTAACATAGCCATTTCTGTGACCAGTCACAAGCTAATCCCTCAGATATTTGCACAAGCTAATCCCTTAGCTATTTCAATGCTAAATTACTAGTTGCCTCTGTGGATGTGTAGGTTTTGACTTTAACATAGCCATTTCCGTGACCAGTCACAAGCTAATCCCTTAGCTATTTCAATGCTAAATTACTAGTTGCCTCTGTGGATGTGTAGATTTCGACTTTAACATGTGCATGTGTGCTTGCATGTATTTGTGTGTGTGCGTGTGTGCTTGCATGTGTGTGTGTGTGCGTGTGTGCTTGCATGTGTGTGTGCGTGTGTGCTTGCACGTGTGCGTGCGTGTGTGCTTGCACGTGTGTGTGCGTGTGTGCTTGCATGTGTGTGTGCGTGTGTGCTTGCATGTGTGTGTGTGTGTGCTTGCATGTGTGTGTGCGTGTGTGCTTGCATGTGTGTGTGTGCGTGTGTGCTTGCATGTGTGCGTGTGTGCGTGTGTGTGCTTGCACGTGTGTGTGCGTGTGTGCTTGCACGTGTGTGTGCGTGTGTGCTTGCATGTGTGTGTGCGTGTGTGCTTGCATGTGTGTGTGTGTGTGCTTGCATGTGTGTGCGTGTGTGCTTGCATGTGTGTGTGCTTGCATGTGTGTGCTTGCATGTGTGTGCTTGCATGTGTGTGTGTGCTTCCGTGTGTGTGTGTGTGCTTGCATGTGTGTGTGTGTGTGTGCTTCCGTGTGTGTGTGTGCTTGCATGTGTGTGTGTGTGCTTGCATGTGTGTGTGTGTGCTTGCATGTGTGTGTGTGTGCTTGCATGTGTGTGTGTGTGCTTGCATGTGTGTGTGTGTGTGTGCTTGCATGTGTGTGTGTGTGCTTGCATGTGTGTGTGTGTGCTTGCATGTTTGTGCGTGTGTGTGCTTGCATGTGTGTGCATGTGTGCTTGCATGTGTGTGCGTGTGTGCTTGCATGTGTGTGCGTGCGTGTGTGTGTGTGCTTGTGTGCTTGCGTGTGTGTGCGTGTGTGCTTGCGTGTGTGTGCGTGTGTGCTTGCATGTGTGTGTGTGCGTGTGCTTGCATGTGTGTGTGTGCGTGTGTGTGTGTGTGCGTGTGTGTGCGTGTGCTTGCATGTGTGTGTGCGTGTGCTTGCATGTGTGTGTGTGCGTGTGCTTGCATGTGTGTGTGCGTGTGCTTGCATGTGTGTGTGCGTGTGCTTGCATGTGTGTGCGTGTGCTTGCATGTGTGTGTGTGTGCTTGCATGTGTGTGCGCGTGTGCTTGCATGTGTGTGCGTGTGTGCTTGCATGTGTGTGTGTGCGTGTGTGTGTGCTTGCGTGCGTGTGTGTGTGCTTGCGTGCGTGTGTGTGTGCTTGCGTGCGTGTGTGCTTGCGTGCGTGTGTGTGTGTGCTTGCATGTGTGTGTGTGTGCTTGCGTGTGTGTGCGTGTGTGTGCTTGTGTGTGTGTGCGTGTGTGTGTGTGTGCTTGCGTGTGTGTGTGCTTGTGTGTGTGCTTGCGTGTGTGTGCGTGTGTGTGTGCTTGCGTGTGTGTGTGCGTGTGTGTGCGTGTGTGTGTGTGCGTGTGTGTGTGTGTGTGCGTGTGTGTGTGTGTGCTTGCTTGTGTGTGTGTGTGTGCTTGCATGTGTGTGTGTGTGTGTGCTTGCGTGTGTGTGTGTGTGCTTGCATGTGTGTGTGCGTGTGCTTGCATGTGTGTGTGTGTGTGCTTGCATGTGTGTGTGCGTGTGCTTGCATGTGTGTGTGTGCGTGTGCTTGCATGTGTGTGTGTGCGTGTGCTTGCATGTGTGTGTGTGCGTGTGCTTGCATGTGTGTGTGCGTGTGCTTGCATGTGTGTGTGTGTGTTTGCATGTGTGTGTGCGTGTGCTTGCATGTGTGTGTGTGCGTGTGCTTGCATGTGTGTGTGCGCGTGTGCTTGCATGTGTGTGCGTGTGTGCTTGCATGTGTGTGTGTGTGTGCTTGCGTGTGTGTGTGTGTGTGCTTGCATGTGTGTGTGTGTGCTTGCATGTGTGTGTGTGCTTGCATGTGTGTGTGTGCTTGCATGTGTGTGTGTGCTTGCATGTGTGTGTGTGCTTGCATGTGTGTGTGTGCTTGCATGTGTGTGTGTGCGTGTGCTTGCATGTGTGTGTGTGCGTGTGCTTGCATGTGTGTGTGCGTGTGCTTGCATGTGTGTGCGTGTGTGCTTGCATGTGTGTGTGTGCGTGTGCTTGCATGTGTGTGCGTGTGTGTGCTTGCATGTGTGTGTGTGCGTGTGTGTGCTTGCGTGCGTGTGTGCGTGCTTGCGTGCGTGTGTGTGCTTGCGTGCGTGTGTGCTTGCGTGTGTGTGCTTGCATGTGTGCGTGTGTGCTTGCGTGTGTGTGCTTGTGTGTGTGTGCTTGCGTGTGTGCGTGTGTGTGCTTGCGTGTGTGTGTGTGTGTGCTTGCGTGCGTGTGTGTGTGTGCGTGTGTGTGTGTGTGCTTGCATGTGTGCGTGTGTGCTTGTGTGTGTGTGTGTGTGGGGAGCGATAGTGTAGCGGTTAGCGCGCTGCGCTATGAAACTGGCGACCTGGGTTCGATTCCCGCTCACGGCCAACACCAGTGACGATTATCTGAACCGGTCCCGGGCCTCCCCTAGGTCGACTCAGCCTCTAAATGAGTACCTGGTGCGGTGTGTAAACATCGCCACTAGGGAGACAAAGGCGGTCGGGCGTGGTGCTGGCCACCCACCCCTTGGTGTACCGTTCCGGCCTTCATAGGTGCTCGCTAACAGCACTTGCCCCTACAGTCTGTTAAGGCTATATGGGGGATCTTTGTCTTTGTTCTTTGTGCTTGCGTGTGTGTGTGTGTGCGTGTGTGTGTGCGTGTGTGTGTGTGTGTGCGCCATTCAGTTTGACGTGGGCGTCCCGGCTATGACGCGCTGCTGCAACGACCACGACCGCTGCTACGACGTGTGCGGCGCCGAGAAGCGCGCCTGCGACACCGCCTTCCGCCGCTGCCTCTCCCGCATCTGCTCGCTCATCGGCGTCAGCTTCACCATCTCCCCCGAGACCCAGGGTGCGCCCACTCCACGTTACCCCGCCGAGAGAGACGCGGAGGAACCGCGCTCAAGGCTCGCACTGGGGATACGAGATGACCGCTGCACATTCGCATGCCTGGACCCTTAACAGAAGCGTGTCCGTCTCGTGGAACCCTACGGCAGGGGACCCCCGGTGGCAGCTGTCCCTATGCAGCGCGATGCGAATGCAGCAACTGGCCTGCAAGCGGGCAAGAGTCGGAGGCAATAGTTTAATTTGCAGTTGTCATTTATCACATTTTGGAGCGTGGCGCTGGCACACAAATGGCCTTACGCTTTTTTTCAAATGACCTCACGGGATTTTTGAACATCCGCTGTGAAGCAGACGGCACGTAGTATTGCTACGCCTGCTGCAACCGCAGTCTCAACCGGGGCGGCCGCTGGGCTCAAATCGCCAACCTCCACGACGAGCGGCGGACACGCTGGGCTCGACCCCCGAACCAGGATGTGAACTTGTAACTTGCGAATCGCGAGCCCCTCGCCCTGCCGCTGAGCCACCTGGATCTTACTTAACCCCCACTAATTGGTGCCCCCCCCCCCCCCCCCCCCACCACGTGCCCCCCCACCCAGGTCGTTGTGAGGAGGCCGTGGATCTGCTGCACCAGGGGGTGATGGCGTTTGGCTGCCGCCCCTACATGGAGAGCCAGCGTGCGGCCTGCACCTGCCCTCCCAGGCCACACAGCACCACCAGGGACCTGTGAGCGACGACGGCCTGCGATAGCGGCGAAAGCTACGGAACCAACCAAGACCCCTCGCGACGCCTCGCGGCATCGTCGCCCTGCGCTAAGCCCGGGCAAACCAGCAACACAGAGTGGCAACCCTGCGGCACTCCATAGCTCCGGAGGCACTCTGCACCACCCACACCCCACACACCACTGGCACCATGCACCGCCCCCCACCCCCCTGCATCTCCCACGGTGAGCCAGCCACAGCCTTGGGTCATGTGTGATTTGGCAAATAATGTAGATGCCCAGCCGTGTTAACTCGCGCGCGTGTCCGTGTGTGTGTACGCGTGTGTGTGTGTGTGTGTACGTACGTGCTCACTGGGCGCAGCGGTTGTGGAGCGGTTAGCACACCGTGCTACGAACCCGGCGACCCGAGTTCGATTCTCGCTCATGGCCAACGCCAGTGACGATTATCTGAACCGGTCCTAGGCCTGGTGATGGCCTCGCCAGTGACTCGTACAGCGGTCTGGCCTTAGGCACTCGCTAGCAGCACCTGCCCCACCATCCTGCACAGGCTATACGCGCAGGGGTGGGGAACCTTTTTTCTGCCAAGGGCCATTTGGATATTTATAACATCATTCGTGGGCCATTCAAAATTTAATTTACGTTGCTATGAAAAAAGCTCCTAGATTTATTGAATTTCGAGTCGTGCGGTTGCCTTGGCAGTGCCAGACCGAATGATTTCGCGGGCCTTATACGGCCCGCAGGCCGAACATCCCCACCACTGCAGCATACGTGGAATATTTGTCTTAACTACGTGTCTGCGTGTGTTTACATAATTTGCAAATATATTTCGAAATTAACGAAATATGTTTAATGTCGTGAGAGCCAATGTCTCTCACGACGTTGGCTGCACCACCGCTCGGAATCACGTGGGTCGTGGTTCGCCACGGCGAGCCGCTTGTAGTAAGTTAACAGTGATTTTGTTCGTGCAATACTTTGACTGCCTCGTAGTTCGTCATGTAACACTGCCTCGAAAGGAACACGGGTGACGTTTCAGGCAATGTCCCTTTGAAAGCGTGTAATAATAATAATAAAACGGTTGTTTTCTGCAAAGATTTATATTCGCTGTGCAGACAGTCCCCGGGTTACGGAAGGGTTAGGTTCCCGAGAACAATCTGTAACCCACATTTTGTGTATGTCAGAAACTGAACAATCCCTCCCCCCCCCCCCCCCAGATCAATTCCATTGACCTTAATCCTAGTGAAGCGCGAGAAGGCATTGTGCCTCCTCGGCCCACGGTATTCGTCATCAACCTCGCCGCGCAACTAACGCAGTCGATTCCGCGTGGTCGATTCGTTTCCTTGACACAATTCACAGGGAGCGTTTCCGTAAGGTCGCATTTTTACGCAACCCGGGGACTGCGTTGCCTTTGTCTTTTTTGTGCCCTTGTCAATTTTTGGTGAGCCCAGGTCCCTCTCGCCAATGAGATCGCCTCGAGTTCACGCCTGGTTCGAATAAAATCGAGACTTGGAATTGGCCGCTCCGTACGAGCCGTTTCGTCTGGGCTCGAGATACACAGGTGGAGGGAGACACAGACAGAGCAACAGCCAGGGAACACAATTGGAAAGCGACACTGAGATAGGCACGGCGAGAGAGACGGACAACAGGAATCTGAATGTTTATGCTGGAGGAATCCGATGGGCAATGAAGCTCGTTTTGAGCAGATGCCCAGCGACAAACTGTGGCGGACACACGGGCGCACGTGGGCGAGCAGAACGACGCGGAGGTCGACACGGGGCCCAATGAGAGGGACACTCGAGGTGGAAAGACAAGAGGATACATCCCAGAGGCCCACTGACAGACAGCTGCAGACACGGAGAGACGCGGGGATTAAAGCAAACCAAGTCGCGCTCGGCTGCCCCCTGTCGGCCTCACCCCCCCCAACACCCGGGCAACTGCGTCCAGCCACGAACGCCGCCGAGGCCCCGACCCACACAGCCCTCTTGTCACTCCACTGCTGGATGAGCGCCTCCCCACGCCGTGCGGGTCACGGGTGTCATGTGACCACGCATCAACACGCTAGTCAGCGTCGGTTGTTGACAACGGGAAGTGCACAGCGCTTGCCAGCAGCGAATGAGCAGTGCCGTACAATGTTTCCACTTTGGTTGGCTCCGCTACCCAAAGCGTCGTGTTACACCCGACTCACTTGCGCACGGTGAATTGACCATGACTTGAGACTGACCCCCTGACCCGCAGGCTCGAGCAAGCGCGTGCTCCCCTCCCTGTGCGCGGTGCGAGGCTCCCTGCCTCTCGCCGCGCACGGGGAAGGAGCACGGGGAAGGAGCACGCGCCCGCCAGTCCCGTCGGCCGGCTGGTTGTTGGGCTTTCCACCGCGATGCGGTGACCTGCAACGGGTTATTTGTACAAGAAAGTCGACTGCACACGTGACCCGCGGGAGCTCGCCAGCAGTCGGACTTTTGTTTACAGCGGGGAGGGGGTGAGGGATCGGCAAACCAAAAACCACAAGAAGAGCCATCTCTCTCTCTTTTTTATTGATTGAATTCGGTCAAACGCGCAATGTTTCAGGAGCCGCGATGAAGTTGCTTCAAGAGCCGCACGCGGCTCCTGGAGCCTGCAGGTTGCCGACCCCCTGGACTCTTAAGAGACAAGATTCTGCTGACTTGCCGCCAGACGCGATTGGCAAGAGGACTCCCGTGTAAACCCCGGCAGCACGGGGTGTGATGTGTGACGACGAGGTGTGATGTGGTGACGAGGTCTGACGTGATGAGGTGTGACGTGACGACGAGGTATGACGTGTGACGAGGTGTGACGAGGTGTGACGTGATGACGAGGTGTGACGTGTGACGATCTGTGACGTGATGACGAGGTGTGACGAGGTGTGATGTGTGACGAGGTGTGACGTGTGACGAGGTGTGATGAGATGTGACGTGATGACGAGGTGTGACGTGAAGATAAGGTGTGACGTGATGACGAGGTGTGACGTGATGACGAGGTGTGACGAGGTGTGACGTGTGACGAGATGTGACGTGATGAGGTGTGACGTGATGACGAGGTGTGACGTGTGACGATCTGTGACGAGGTGTGACGAGGTGTGACGACGTGTGACGTGTGACGAGGTGTGATGAGATGTGACGTGATGACGAGGTGTGACGTGATGACGAGGTGTGCGGAGGCCAGAATTGAGACGGGGGGTCCTGGCCCCGCCCCCCGAGTGGACTTTGTCCTCCGAGCTCCACGCGCCGGTTTCAGCAGGGGAGGGGTCGGGAGCGCGCAGCTCCCACGTGTCAGCTCGGGCCAGCCACACTCCACGTTACCGCGGCGAGCCCGGGCGGGCGGAGGGGAGGGGTGGGGGCTCCAGGTTATCAGGGATCGCGTTTTGGCTCGCGTCGATTCCCGTGCCCGCGCTCGCTCGCTCGTCACACAACTCCACTCCACGTTGCTGGGCGCCAGGACCCCTTGGACGTCCAAAATTAACAAAACAAGGAGCAGGCGGGGTTGGGAACCTTGCCCAACCGCGTCGATTCCGGGTCGCCCGCTCATCCCACTCCACGTTAGCGCGACGGGGACAGGGAACGCCAATATACGCCCGGAGAGTTTTGCTCGGGTCTCGCTGTCGCGACCCTGAACCCTCCACTCCGCGTTACTTCGGCGAGAGGAAGACTCGAACGACCCAGCCGACAGCATGAGACCCACGCTGCCGTTCCTGATGATGATGGTGCTGCTGGTGGTGATGGTGGCGGTGGCGATGGGGGGGCATGGTGGATGGAATGAGAGCGAGCCGGATCGGGGGGGGGTGCATCGGGGGGCCGCGGAAGTGGGGGGCGCGGAAGTGGAGGGCGCGGAAGTGGGGGGCGTGGAAGTGGGGGGCAAGGAAGAGGGGGGCTGGGTGTTGGAGCGAGTGGAGGCGCTTGGGGGCTTCCTGGACACTGCAATGGAGTACCTGGGCGGGAATGAGGGGACCTGCCGCTATACGTGCGGGAACGGTAACGGGGGGGGGGGGGCTGGGGTCAATGCCCGAAACGTCGTCTATAACGTTTTTTCTTCTGTTAAGGTCGCGGTGTGACTGACTGCGTTGAGTTGTTGGTTTGTGTGTGTGTGTGTGAATTTCTATCCGGGTTGTTAAACGACAACCCGTACACCGATAATCGCTTTTAGAATCGATTATCGGTTCTGAAGGCATGAACCGGTAACCGTTTCCAGTGCACTGCCCCTGGCAAATTGCTCGAGGTGATGTTTGGCCTTCTCTTCCACGCGCTGAGCAGACGTTTTGGAAGAGGTGCGCGTTGGAACGGGAAACGCTGCTTTAGTTTATTGCTGCAACGCAGAAGTTTGGCACAGTGGGGGGGGTGGCACAGGGGGTGAGCATCAGACAGTCATCTCAGTCAGTCGACCCGTGACACCTGCAGGGTCTGCCCCGTGACCTCCTGCCAGCGGGCGTCCGACACTTCACGTGGCCTCAACGTGCACATAGCCTGGCACAGGCGCCGTGGTGACGTCACCGCCACTTTGTGGTGAACGGAGCGGTTAGCGCTACGCTGCGCTACGAACCTGGCGACCCGAGTTCGATTCCCGCTCACGGCCAACACCCAGTGACGATTATTTGAACTGATCCTGGGCATCCCCTAGATCGACTCGGCCTCAAATGAGTACCTGGTGCGATGTGTAAAACATCGCCACTGGGGAGACAAAGGCGGTCGGGTGTGGTGCTGGCCACCCACCCCCTCGTATACCGTTCCGGCCTTTATAGGTGCTCGCTAACAGCACTTGCCCCAACAGTCTGTTAAGGCTATACAGGGGATCGTGTCTGTGTGTTACGGGGAGTGGTGGCGCATCGGTTAGCGCATTGCGCTACGAATCCGTCGACCCGAATTCGATTCCCGCTCTCGACCAATAACAGTGACGAAAATATGAACCGGTCCTGGGTCTCTCCTCAGTCGACTGGCTGGTGTGGTGCGTTAAACATCCGCACTGGGGAGACAAAGGCGGCCGGGCGTGGTTCTGGCCACCCACCCCCTCGTGTGCCGAGCCGGCCTTAATAGGTGCTCGCTAACAGCACTTGCCCCCAACAGGTCTACGAGTCTGACAGGGAGTCGCTGCGTGTTCTTGTTTCAGGATCGAAACCCGAGCCTCGGCCCGGCTTCGTGTCTGCTCCGAACGGATGTGGCTCTCCTGTCTTCGGATTATACGTGCGCATCACAGCAGCATCATACACAGCGCATCACACAGCAGCAGCATCATACACAGCGCATCACACAGCAGCAGCATCATACACGGCGCATCACACAGCAGCATCATACACAGCGCATCACACAGCAGCATCATACACAGCGCATCACACAGCAGCAGCATCATACACGGTGCATCACACAGCAGCAGCATCATACACGGCGCATCACACAGCAGTAGCATCATACACGGCGCATCACACAGCAGCAGCATCATACACGGCGCGTCATGCACAGCGCATCACACTCAAAGCAGCATTACACACGGCGCACCATGGACCCAGCAGCATCATACGCGGCACATCATGAACAGCGCATCACACACGGCGCATCATACACTGCGCATCATCAACAACCGCCATTCGCCACTAAGTGGTGGTGACATCACCACGACGCTTGTGCCAGGCTATGTGCACGTTGAGGCCACGTGAAGTGTCGAACGCCCGCTGGCAGGAGGTCACGGGGCAGACCCAGGTGCCACGGGTCGACTGACTGAGATGACTGGCTGATGCACCACCTGTGCCCTCTACTGTGCCAACTTTCTGTGCTCGTTGTTGTGAGCGTCGCTCCTCCGCCCTCCGTTGTTGTTGGAGAGCGACTGCCTCCAACTGCCCAGCAGCGTCCTTCACGAGGCCGATCTTGACACCGCTGGTACCAGTCATCGACAAAAGTCCACTCAGCTCACATCCTTCTGTACCACATCACTCCATCTCTTCTCTAGCCCGTGCTGTGCCCGTTTAGCTTCCTCGATCCGGCCGAACAAAAGCTGTTTAGGCATGCGTTGGCTGGGCATGCGGGCTACATGGTCCAGCCAATGCAGCCTTGCCTGACGGAGGAGCTCACCGATAGGACTTTGTCCAGATCTTTCAAGGATTTGTGAGCTCCTCACACAATTCAGCCTGGTTAAACCCAGGATGGATCGTAAGCAGGCCAGCCTAAATATTTCTAAACCGCGAAGATCTTCCATTAGGGGGGGTCCATGTTTCGCAAGCATAGAGAAGGGAAGGAATGACCGTGGCCGAGAAGACCTGAAGCTTCGTGCGGAGCGACAGACCAGGTAGCTTCCATACAGCGTTACGCAACTGATAAAAAAAATATAATGCCGCTCGACTGATTCGGAGTGAGACCTCTGCTGTCAAACCGGAGCCGGTCATGAGCACACTGCCCAGGTATGGGAAACTCTTCACTCTCTCCACAACTTCCTTGGGGGGTGGAGTGTCCGATGGTACTCAGGCAGGTGCTTAGTTTTGGTGGGGCTGATGGTAAGGCCCCACCTCTTAGTGGCAAGCTC